GTCCAACATTTACCAGCTGATGTTGACACTGCCACGGGAGATTAACGATGGGTTAGCGATGTTGATGATGTTTCTTACAGATGACTGTTGCTCCACGTGTTCCGGGTTTTATATGCTGTTTCCTTTTGTGTTTTATCTAACTTAATGTGGCAGATTTTGGTTTGTACTGGGTGTGTGGAATTAGGCTTCAAATTGAAGTGAATAAAAGTTACATTCTTGACCTTGTGAGCCTCAAATTTATATCTTAACTCAAGGTCCAGATACTAGCTTCTTCCAGAGCTTCAAACCACATCATGTCAGTGGATGAAGTTTGTTGAGGAAGACCATGAGAAGTGGTTAAAAGTTCCATTAAAGTGAAGCTCAAACATCCAGCGGTTGCAGCCCTAACTAGAAGTCCCTCTCTTTCCGTCCACAGCGTGGTGTGTGAGATTGGCCCAGCGAGACGAGTTCCACCGTCTGACCTCCCGTTTGAACCAACCATGAGTGGACCCGTTCACATAGAAGTCGAGGGAGGGAGAAAAGGAACATCTCGGGTCAATTTCACCTATCGGGTAGGCCTGAACACAGATTATACACTATATTCTTACACAAAAAGCTACTGTAGAAACACGGAAGTTCAACATGGCAGACTGCATGTGTCTGTAGCTAAACAGAGGTCACAAAAACACAGCGATTACTATATTCAGGTGATATACAGAAATGAAAACATATCTATGAATATTATATTCCATTTCTCCCACCTAAACATTACACACTAAACCTTAAAGGTATCCTATTACTCTGTTTTTACAAGAGGTTCCCCATTTTGATTGTATCGTGCACGCAGATGACGCATGCATGTTCTTACCTCCTGTTTCATGACCATTAGCACCGGTAATGTGTTGAAGAAGCGTAACAAAGCACCAACAAAGGCAGTCAAAACTCCACAGGGCACCTTTTAAAACAGCACAGGTTTAGTGCTACAATATGCATCCTGTCTGCTTTACTAAACACAGAATCCACTTCTCACGGCCCATTTACACAGTAGTTTGATAAGATTCACGACCTCTCTTCCATCACAAAAACAGTCGCTTTGTTTGCTTGATTTTGTTACTTTAAAACGCCTCGGTTCAACTGCGGGGAAGCATTTAAAATGTCTCGAATCTGTCATCCTGTGTACTCACCTCACCAAAGTTTCTGAGGCAATACAGAACACGGTGTGACACAAGTGCTTCAAGCCCCAGAGATCAAATCCCAGAAACATTAAAAAGGTTAAGCACACAGCCTTCCTCCAGTGTTGTGCCAGGAAATCTGCTCCCTAAAGAAGCAGCAATGCGTGAAAATGTCCCTCGCATACAAATTCACCGCCGCACAAAACTCTATTCCGCTCGGAGCACTTTCTTCCCACAAATAGAGAAACAAATATGATCAAATATAAAAGTTTCACCTGCTGTTCTGTTTTATTTCTCCAACTAGGCTCAGTTGTTTAATTTAAATGTTGTTGTTCACTTTCATATTTAATGTTTTTTTCCTATTGAGCTGACAAAAAGCTAATTAAAGCAAACTGCTGAGACCAAAATGACTAATTTTCCTCAGCAGCAGTACGTCTGCGTCTGTAAACTACTTTAAACTTCCCTCAGCAAGTCTTGATTTGTTTGTCTTGCTGTCAGAGCAGAAATATTAAACCAATACTACAGAAACACTAACAGGCAGACCTGACTTGCAGCGGTTCACTGCTTGGGTAATGTAATGTAATAACTTGTCAAAATGCAGTAAATTGTTTATTACAATTAGGACAAAAACATTGTAGAACAAAACATTTGTTGTTGATATGGTCTCGCCTTAACATTTTCAGGTCATTTAACACTGCAGGGTAGTTTTATAATGTTAACAGCCTGCCTCAGGACAAAGGGGAGGGTATATCAATTCATTAATCATCAACTATTTGTATAATTGGATAATCATATCAGTCATTTATAAAGCACAAATACCAAAATATTGTCTGATTTAAGCTACTTTTTGTAGAATTTGTTGTTTTTCTTTTGTCATATATGATTGTTAACTTAATATTTAATGTATTTTTTACCATCTTCTGACATTTTATCTGCCAAATTAATCTATTAATTGAGAACATCATTTCAGATTAATAAACAATGTAAATGTAAATGTAAATGTATGTCAGGTGTCAACCATAAGGTCAGGAGGACACAAACCTGTTTTCAAATCTATTATTTCTCTATTAGTATTAAATCACTTTGACTAAATAAGCAACAGTCAAAGTAAAAGTTATTAAAAAACATCGATAGCTGTTATTTTTTAAGAGTTTAACAAAATCAACATAGTTGACATATTATCACGTTATGAAGTTGATATTTTGCGAACATCTTAGCAGTTAGTTGCTTATCAGACACGTAGCTTTAATTTGAAGTCGTGTTTCTGTCCACTAAATGCACGTAAGTCCAATATTCTCTCTCCTTGTAGCTCTGTTTGCTCCTGTGCTCAATGAGTAGTTGCTAACTTTTTTGCTGATTTGAGATTGATGAACACATTGAAACTGAGTTAAACTATAAAATTTTGGGCTTTGAAACCAAAACAATGAGCTGAAAGACGCTAAAATGCTCAGTAGTGCTGAGGGGAACTGCAAGCTCAGCCTCACCTCTCACTTTACACTCATTTTATCAGTTGTTGATATAAAAACTGATTAGTGCAGCTGATGAAATCCTGCTGTGCAATGAGCCTTTTCCTTTCTATAGCCTCTATAGATTTGTCCATATATCCATCTGTTGTATATCTGCTAGTGCATCCCTGGGTTTAAATATGTGCCTCCTTTTATGCAAGAGCCAAGATATACAACTGTCTGTGTATTTTCTTTTGTCTCATAGACCAAATATATTTCAGTCACCGCCACCTCCTGTGCCGCTGTTTTGTTTGTGTATAAGTTCCAACCGGGCCGAGTTGTGATGAGTTTGTCTCTCTTTGGGGATATTTATTCTTGTGTTTTCGGCTCTCTCTGCCAGAACAGCAAGAACAAATCTGAAACACCAACAAACCAAATGCTTAAGTATATCTCAGCAGCTGCACACCGCACACTCTCGCTACGCTGATTTAGAAAACATTGTTTTACTTCTTCACTTTGGATTCATATTTACACCTTTTTTTTTTTGAGCCCACTTGCTTCCAAACAACCACAAATAACTTCTTTCACACACTGTGCTCGACTGCTGTGTCTTAATTCTCCAGGCAGATTGACTTCTTAAATTTCGAAGCCGCTTTATCCTCCGGTGTAGCCGAGAATTAATATCCCCTCTTGTTGTTTTGTTCGTCATGCTGTCAGAAATGTACAAAACCTTCCAGTACAAACAGGAAACCAACCAGCTGGTGTACTTCAGCAGCTGCCGTCGCCTTTATCAATATTCCTCAAGCACGCAAGTTGATAAAAACTCCCCCGTGGTGAAGTTCCACAGTGACACTGGTGTTTTTTGGGGTTTTGTTTTTTAGTTATAACTCGCTGCCTTAATAACACGGGAGTTATTCATGCTTTGGTTTTTGAGGTGATCAAAGTGTTCGTACCTGCAGGAAGGCAGCTGGAACATAATGAACTCTACTTAGTTAAAGTTTAATGTTTCCCGTTTTATTTTTCTCTTTGTGTTTGTTTCTGCCTCCGCTGCCTTTTGGTTTTGACGGATCTGCGCTTTTTTATTTTGTTCTTGAAACGTGATTGTTTTGATGACGCCTCATAAATGTCGCCTGTGCCTGACTAATTTTTTGTTAGTGAAGATGTCGCGAGCTACAGGGGGGATTACCATTATCAGGGAAAAAATTTAAAATTTTCCCTTTTTTTTTTTTTTACAAAAAAAATTTTTAAAAAAAAAAAAAAAAAAAAAATAATTAGGGGATTTGACACTGGTTTGCGCTTTGTCATTGTTGTTATTAATTGTTAGCACAACTTCACACTTGGATAGTGCTTGATTATAGATACATGCACGTTTGACGTTGTTAAATGCACTTACTGTAAGTTGATCTGGACCCGATTCTCATATATTAATGCAAGGTTATGTAATACTACGACATTAACGAGATGTAGTGAAGTGAAAGTAATTAGATGAATGAATATGTTCCTGAAAAACACTCCCACAGTAAGTGCTGTAGCAGAGTGGTTCTGTTATGTTTTATTTTATACGACTGACTGCAAACCAGCAGCTACTTAACCGTAACTGAGTCGCTCTGTTGGTCTGAGAATCATTAAAAGCTAAACTGCAGTTAAACCTTTCTAGTTATAAACCCTGTGAACCTGACTGCTACATTACAGCCGGATGCTAAACCGTATGCTCGAGGTCTCGTCGGGCGTGTGAATGGCCATCTGGAGTGGCCTCCCAGAGGGTCGGTTGACCTGTCAGGCAGTTATGAGTAGAACAACACTCATATGAAAAGATTAAATAACTGTTTGATCCTGCATTAACTGCCCAGCCAGTCCCATATGGGAGTTTCTGTGTGTGTGCGGGGGGTAAACTAGACACTGACAGTGTTGTGCATAAATTGTAAAAAGGAGGTAGCGCTTTGAAAATATAAGCATGACGGTGCTTTCAGGTGTTGCCAGAACTCAGAAATAGTTTCATAACACCAAAGCCTGTGTGTATGGCAGCAATAAAAGATTTCTCTGCCTTTTCCATCACAGGAAAAAATACTCAAAACACAGGGCATGAATGAAATCAAATAAAATAAGGCCAGGCAAACTAATTTAAGGAAAGGAAAACACAAATATAGCATGTTCATGCTTGGATTTGAGAGTTAACATTTACTGTTACAACTTCACTTTTTAATGTACGCTTACTTTTGCGTCTATTTTAGGATCTATCGTAGTCGGACTTCTTGTTATTTCACCAAATACAAAAGCAAGAATCGTGTATTTTTTCCTTTTGAAACTAAAAAGTAGAGCAAAAGGTACTGTAAAGCATTTGTTTGGTTGATTCTGGCGACCCCTGTGGACAAAAGTGCTAGTGTTTCTACAGCCTTGGTTCATTGATTTTAAGGGGAATCCAACCTAGTTGCAGTCATTAAGAGTAACTATATAGAAACAGTCATCTTCTTGTAGGTCATATAGAGACATCAAGTAGTTTCATAACCAATTAAAAACTCCTTGTTGTACCTTCAAGTACAAACAACTTAATTTTATAATCTTGTCATTCCAGGACCCTAAACCAGTCGCCGTAGAGCCAGCGAAGGGTCCGGCAGCCGGAGGAACCATAATCACCATCAAGGGAGAAGACCTGGACACCGCAACTAAAGACGACGTCACCGTCACAGTGGGGGGATTCCCCTGTGAAGTGTAAGCAACGCCTGTTTACTTATGTTATCCTAAGAGACAGCCGGACGTTTAAAGCTCTCCGTTTACCATCTTCCTCTCTCCTCTTCAGCCTGTCGTTTGGTAAACGGATCACTTGCACGACCGGGAAGTATCGTGGTCAGAAGGTGCCCTCTGATCCGTTAACGGTGACGGTGAATTACGGTAGAAACACCACCAAAGACGTCCCAGCAGCATACCAGTACTCTGATAACCCCAAGATCATAGATTATAACCCCAAGGCCAGTTTCCTGTGGTGAGTATGGTTTTAAACTATTATTGTATTATTATATTTTTACAACAGTTAATGGTTAAATTAATTTTCGTGTTTGTGTGTGTGTGTGTGTGTGTGTGTGTGTGTAGTGGCGGTCGAAGGATTGTGGTGGTGGGAAGCGGTTTTGATCTGATCCAGAGAGCCACGATGAAAGTCCTGCCCTTCCCTGACGAGTTTTCACAGAACACCACTCCTGTAGAGGTAAGTGTGTGTGTGTGTGTGTGTGTGTGTGTGTGTGTGTGTGTGTGTGTGTGTGTGTGTGTGTGTGTGTGTGTGTGTGTGTGTGTGTGTGTGTGTGTTGTTGTTGTTGTTGTTGTTGTTTGGCCAGATTGATGGAGTGTGTTGGTTCTTGGATTACTTCATTTCTCACACACAACCTAATTTCTCTTCACAAAGTTTGTTTTTCCTCTTCCTCTTTATTTATCACTCCTACAAATCTCACATTTTTTCCCACTTTTGTTTTTGTTTTTTTATCATATTAGGGCACTTTTTTGTAAGCGTCATCTAAAATGCAAAAAGAAAACCTGTTATTTAAGGTAATGTGCTATTGGATTATCTTAACGGAGGGCTAAACTGTAAGTTTATACATCTATGGGCCACGTCAGTGCAGCTTAGCTAACTAGCACTAGTCTCTGCAGCAATTGTACTGATCAGCTCTGCAATAAATGTGCAATCAATCAAACGACTTAATATCAGAGGTGGACGCCACCGACGGGACCAAATCAGTTTTTTTAATAAATCACAGTATCAGCATGGATGTATATCGGTCTGCAGCTTCAAGTGACATTTCTTCTGTCTGAGTCAGAAACCTAAAACAGAACTGAGGGGACGGCGCTTCCATTTCACTGCTGAATAGCTTTGAGTGACAGAGTCTCTTAGGAAAGATTCACTGCAGGGGAGAGGAGGTGAAGTCGTTTTATCGTCGCTTCATCAAAAGCCGCCGTCTGAACCGGGAAGACAGAGGCGGGGGGGCGGGGAGGGCGGCGGGCACAGTGGGGAGGCAGACTGAAGAAGGAAGAAAGATGGTAGAGACAGAGGGAGACAGAGGGGAGGCGGAAATCTGAAGTGAAAGTTACAGCTGGACTGAAAACCTTGAATCACTACAAACAGACACTTTTATCTTTTAACCATCAGAAGAAAATGATATGAATTTCGAAAACTTTTCCTGTAGTTCGAGTTTTTTATTTTGTCTGCGTTTGAAGAAACCGAACAATGTAATTTGGTCCTGACTGAACGTAAAGACAGAAAACTCTCTCTCTCTCTCTCTCTCTCTCTCTCTCTCTCTCTCTCTCTCTCTCTCTCTTAGTTTGTCCAGGAGGCTCTGAGTAAGAACGACACCGTCCTCCAGTTCGAGTCTCCAGAGGTGAAGTCCCCCTACGACAGCCAGTCCCTCAGGACGGTTCTCTACCTGGACAACATGAACGAGGAGCTGAAGGGCTTCGACTACCACCCCGACCCCACCTTCAACGACCTCGCCAAGAACGTCATCACCGAGACCAGCATTATCATCGTCACGGTGAGGACAGACGGTTAAATTGACACCTTTTTTTTTTTTTTTGCTTCACTCTTTATCTCTCAATCTGCTGACCCTTTCTTTCTTCTTTCCGTCAGGGTCGAGGTTTCTCCAAGGCTATGACGGCCAAAGAGGCCCAGGCGTTTGTCGGGGACGCCTCCTGTCACGTTAACATACTGCAGGTAAACACACACTGGAAAAGAGCTTCGTAAGAAGTAAACCTCCAGACACTTATAATGGCTCTATAATGGATTTATACTGGAAAAGATGGAGCTGATATTGGAGTTTTATTAAATGTAGGATATGAGACGGGCACATTGGTTCGACTGAATTCCCTTTTTGAGTCTGGCAGGTGATGCTTTCATGCTGCAGCAACACAGGCTCCAGAAATGCCATACTTAACAGATGGAAGATGAAGGTGCCTTCTTCAAATGCAGAATAAAAGCTAAAGTTGGAATAAAGTTTGACCTACTAAACGTTGAGAACCTTTTGTGTTAAGTTTTAAAACACATTTGGAGGCCGATGCTTCCTCTGTAGTTTATTTTTGGGTGAGAAATTACTCTGATGATGACTACCTCAATTGATCAAGCGTACAATTATCCAGTTCACCAAGCCTGAAAAGCAAAGAGATGGATGCAGCTTCTTTTTTTTCCGGTCCTCCGCATGCATTTTTAAAATATGACTAAAGTGAATGTGACATGGTGTTTTTGTACCAGTGTCACAAGATGAAGCTGAGGGGCAAAACTATTAACATGTAGAGGAAGAAAGAAAGAAAAAAAACATCAACTCCTCGTACATCTGTGTTTTTTTGGACTCCAGAAACAATTAAAATACAACAATTTGAGAGGGAAACATCTCACTGACGTATAAAACCTGGGAAACACTATTTTATACAACAGTTTGTGGATGAGTTGGAAAGCTAATGTGCCTCTTTATTTTCAGGTTTTCAGCTTTATTTCTTTAAAAATGTAATCTAATACAAGTATCACAGTGTCAAAGTAGCGTAACTTGATCACTTTTCATTACTTTATATGAATATGAGTTTCTATAATAACATTGTAACCTTAGAAACGAAAAAGGAAACCAAGATTTTTAGCCTCTGCTCAGTTAATTTTTAAAGAAAATCTGCTAATAATCCTCTTTTTTTGACTTAATGTAACTCAGTTACATGTAATCCATTACTCCCCAAGCAAACTATACCAACAGTTGGGTCACTATTTTCTTTCCCTCTTTCCGTACAGGATGATAAATTGATCCTGGAGGCTCCTTCGACACAGCCCAAATCCAGGTCCAAACGCCAGCGCAGGGACACAACCAACGACCTGCTGGAGCTCGTGGTAAACTCAGTGACCAAACTTCATACATGTTTAATTCATTCATGTAAAACAGGGTTAATACAGTAGAAGGCATCATGTGCCTACAATTACAATGTCCTAAGCCTCATTTAAAAAGGGATTAACGTTACAGGAGTCGGTGGGGAATGAAATATTCCCTGTGCTCCTCTGTAATTTAAGCCATTCTTCCCAGACGGCATTTTAACTATCGGGAAATTACAGAAACTGTGTGAGGGGGAATTTGAGTCAATATACTCATAACTCTGTCAAATCTTAACACACAGACATGAAACACATTAATTTCCCTCAGTGTGTGACTATATCCAGAGGACATCATTATCTCAGAAATCATCAGGAAAAAAAGACTCTTCAGAACTTCCTTTAGAATAATCCCATTTTTAAGTTTTCTTCAGTTTCAAAGTAATCCGGTGATAGTTGTCTGTACATCCATGGGTACACGGCAAACGGGGACTGCTAACAGCTAATTCGGCTTACTTTTTTATGGCACCAATTTGCCATAAAGAGAATACCTGTAGCTGATTTATAGGGTTAGCATGTTTCCATATACCAGATCCACTTTAAAATAGTCAAAGATTTCATTTTAATGTTCTCACACTGGATAATCTCTGTCTCTCTACAGGTAAAGTTTGGTCACGGTGAGTGGCTGGTGGGTTCAGTCTACTACGCCAGAAAAGACGACATTCCTCTGGCTATAATCATCCCTGCGGTTATCATACCGATGCTGCTCTTCATCGCCGTGTCCGTCTACTGCTACAGGTTCGATAGATTATCCCCCAAAAAATACTGGAACACACAAACAAACTTCTGTGAGTTCAGGGGTTTAAACATCTTCTTCTTGTCTGCGTCAGGAGGAAGAGTCAGCAGGCAGAGCGAGAGTACGAGAAGGTGAAACACCAGCTGGAGAATCTGGAGGAAAGTGTACGAGATCGCTGCAAGAAAGAGTTCACAGGTAACGCACACACCTGGAAAAAGCTGTGAACTCGCACTCACAATTTATTTTGGGATGACGAGTGTTAGTGCTAATTTACTAATTTCACAGGAGACCTGAAATAAAATACAGTTTATTACAATCTTGCTGTAGTTGCTTTGCCCACTGGCTTTATAGGTTATGATAACATTGCAGGCAGAGTGTGGAGAATCCAAGGGGGTCTCCTGAGGTCTAATTAACACCCAGGAAGTATTAATACATCTACCGGGTCTCCAACAACCACACGGAAGTTTCCAGCGTCTGAGTCAAGCAGCAGACGAAGCACAAACTCGCGTCCGCAGAGCTCAATTTTTATGTCAGCATCCTGTCACACATTGCGTCCACAGATTAGAGGATGTCGCCGCTTCGACAGTTTATCTCCATAATGTGAAGTCCTGCCAGCGCGATTCAGCAGAACGGGCTTTGGCTCAGACATCAGAACCTTCCCTTCAGGTCTTCTTGGCGAGCTCGGTGGACCGTTTTCAGCTGAATCTGACAGCTCTGTTATTGAGCTTTGGGGGGTGGGGGGGGAGGCGGGTCAGCAGACTCTTCACATGTCAGATGTTTCCAAAGAGACTTTTTAAGAGTTGTGAATAGTCAAAGTGGTTGAATCTCCTTCTAGCACATATAAAGACACGAATATGTATGCCAAGTGTAGCACAAGATGCCCAGGTTCAAGAAAATCATGTAAATCCAACTTCATAGAGCACTTATCCTGAGGCACTCGAGATTTCCAGTCTTGTACAGCCCACGCATGCAGTTCTTTATGATATCAGATGTTGAAGCCTCAGTACTTCTTTTTAACAGTAAGTTAATGGGTCAGGAGGCAGAACCAATCAGAGGCAGAGTCAACGCCTGCATAACTGCATAACACTGAGAAAACAGCGCTGAAAATGTCTTTAAAATGGATAAAGACACCCAAAGAATTAGGGTTAGGGTTGTGTTGGGGTTAGGGTTGTGCTGAATTAGGGTAATGGCAATTTTCAGGCACTGGTTATGGATGTTCCGACGATAAAAGATGAAAACAGGCTCTTTATTTCTGTCCAGCAACTGATTTTTCTGTCTGAAATGACAACTGACCTGAGCACACAAGCCAATTTTAGCTCCACTAGTTGGTCGTGTCCCACTGACTCGTTTGAAAATTACACTCTCTTGTAGGATACTTAAACATGATGTAATGCTAAAGAGACTGAGTACATGTACCAGCCTAAAAGTAAGCAGTTGACGATGCCAATATCTAATCATTTTTCTGTGTCTGTCAGATCTGATGATTGAAATGGAGGACCACACCAGTGACCTGAGCGAGGCCCGGATCCCCTTCCTCGACTACAAAACCTACACCGACCGAAACTTCTTCCTGCCCTCCAAGGACGGCGCCAATGACACCATGATCACAAGAGAAATCCAAATCCCAGAAGCCCGCAAGGCGATCGTGGCTCAGGCGCTCAACCAGTTCTCCAACCTGCTGAACAGTAAACCTTTCCTCATCAATGTGAGTTTAAAGGTTCTTTTATTTCCTCTTATTTCTTATTTCTCTTATTCAGTCTTTTTCTCACTGTCAAGCTATTTCAACTCCGTCTCAGCGAGGTTTCTGGAACTAATAGAAAGTCCTATTTTTAACCTCCTTCACCAAAAACAACATTATTTAACCAATTTCATGTTTGTGAATCAAATTCCATTCCCGTTTGGATCTACTTGGGCGTTGGTGACCCGAGACCTGTGGCACTAATTTAAATACCCTTTTGTAATTTGGTACAACCTGCATCACCATGTGTATCACTGGGGACCAAAAGGTTGCTGGTTCAATCCCCGGCACCGGCAGGAGGGTGTATTGCAGCTGGGGACTGAAAGGTGGCTGGTATCACCACTGACAATAAAGTAATCTTGCTGTGGATATAGCCTTACTAGCCTTATTATTAGACGCAGATGTGAAAAGCTAGAAAGTGGATCTTGTTTCTATGATGTAAAGTCCATCGCGCTCTCTGCCCCCCCCCCATAGTTCATTCGCACGTTGGAAAGCCGTCCTGACTTCAACGCCCGGTCTCGCGGTTATTTCGCCTCCCTGCTGACGGTGGCGCTGCACGGAAAACTGGAGTACTACACGGACATCATGAGGACGCTGCTGCTGGAGCTGATGGACGAACACGTGCAGAACAAAAACCCCAAACTCATGCTCAGGAGGTGAGGAATACATACACACAGCTGTAATAGTTATGTATTTGTTTATGCATTTGTATTTGTTTACACTGTGATTTTTCCATGATAACAACAAAGATGGCTTCTGTACAGTCCTAATGTTTAATCTATTGTCTTTGTGTGTGTGTGTGTATCTAGGTCAGAGACGGTGGTGGAGAGGATGCTTTGTAATTGGATGTCCATCTGTCTCTATCAGTTCCTCCGGGTAACACAGATTCTTTCACTTATTCTGTGTTGTTATTGTTTTTTTTCTAACTTTCCCTCGGTTTGTTTGTCTCTTCGATCTGTTTCTCACCTGCCATTCTTCTTGTTCTTCTTCCTTTCTTTCTTCTCCTCTTCCTTCAGTTATAATTGACTCTAAGAAACTTTCCCCCTGCCTCTGTCTTTTGTTGAGACCCGTTAACTGTGCCTGTATTTTTTTCTGCTCATCCTGTGTCGATGCTTCGATGCTGACGGCAGCGGCTGATATGTTGTGCTGATGTTCAGGGTTTCTATAATTTAACATTCTTGTACCGAACATCGTGTTCACACTTTCAGCTCGAGAACACGTTTTTAACAACATGGACTCTTTATGTGATGTGATTTAGGATCAGCAGCTGAATGTGGATTCAATTTAGACCCTCAAACCTAACAAAATCCCAACATTTAGACACTGAAACTCCCTAAAAACTTTGAAATTATTAGTTGATTATCGCACATTTTTATTGTGCTTAAACACTTTCATTCATTTGACAGCTTTAGTTACTTTACAAATTATTATTTTTACAAACAAGACATATGAAGAGCTTCTAAGATATGATGTTTTGTTAAATCAATTAGTCTAAAATAAGTTTTTAATTAAAATTCTCAAATAAATTTACATTTATTTTTAATTGTTTTGAGGTTTGAACTGTAGGTTTGATTAAAATAATAAAATAACGATTAATGGAGAAAATAATCAGCAGATGAGTCCATAATAAAAAATAATCATTAGTTGCAGTCTGATAGAAAATCCTTCAAAATTAGCTCCAACATTAAAATCCTGCTTTTACATTAATGCATGAGTCATAATAATTTTAATGATATCATATATAATAGTGTAACAGTCACAGGGGACATAAAACTGAATTTTTCTGATTATACTTTCATACTTTTACAAGGAGGAACAAGTTTTATACAGCCTCAAGGTGATAGAAACACTACCTCTTTTGTCCACAGGGGGCGCCAAAATCAACACAAAAGGAAAGTTCCTTTTAGGGGCTTTAATTAACAATTTCAATGCAAGAACTTTATTTACTTACACTGGTATTAAAACCAGCATTATACCTTCCTTAAATTCCCTTTTGTATTCAACAAACCAAATCTTTCACTAAATATATATATATTTTCTTCACATGAGATAAATGTTGTGTTAGAGCTAAATCTAATTGGAATAAAGGAGGATTCACAGCTGCAGTTACTGTACTTTTACACTTACAGGTTGCATATTTAATAGAGCTCTTATTGGCTGAAGCTGTGAAAGTGTCCAACAGATGCTTATAAATTGGGGGGGGCGTTTGATTTGTTGCACCAGAGTTCTGTCAATAAATGATTAAGTTTAAGGAGTTGCAGAAGGGAAAACGTTTTTTGGTCCCATCGAAACCAGCGGCTCTAACGCGGTTTGTGTCCTTGTTCTAGGACACGGCAGGAGAGCCTTTGTACAAACTGTTCAAGGCCTTGAAGCACCAGGTTGAGAAGGGACCAGTGGACGCCAAGATGAAGAAAGCCAAATACACTCTGAACGACACAGGACTGCTGGGGGACGACGTCGAGTACTCTGTACTGGTTAGTACACGCACAGAGAGACAGAGACAGCATTATTAGATCAGAACTGCTGATTTATTCCTTCTGGTGTGATTCAGTGTTTTCTCCTGACTGTAATGCTATCAGAGTAACAAAGCCTCTGAGATCAGAGTTTAGACGTTGGGCCAAAATACAGCTTATTATTAATGATCACATAAAAAAAAAAAACAGTTCATCTTTTCATTAAGAGCTAAAACAATTAGTTGATTGCAGCTAGATAGATAACTGTTGGAGCTGGTTAGGCTGTGTTACGGCTACAGTCGGGGGATGATCGCTGATTGTGGCTGTACTTGCAGAGGTTGAAATATTTGTAGCACAGACCACAAAGCGGAAGCACGAGTATAAAAGGCAAGGCATAAAGCACGTTTCATGTACAAAAGGTAGATTCAAGGTGCTGTACAGTGTAGGTAAAAGCAAAACGAAGACAGAAAGAACATACTTCAAAGGCATAATAAAAAGAAATGATGATAAACTTTATTTATATAGCACCTTTCAAATACAGGTTTATAAAGTGCTTTCACAAGGGAAAAACAACAGTAAGAACCAGAGCAGCAACAGTAACAATATACAGAACAAACTATAAACACTGTAGAACAAAGCAATAAATAAAAAGATGGAACAATAAAACCAGGGTGAATAAAAGGTCTCCGCAGGAAGGATGTCACCTCTGGTTTTTAATCTGGTTTTGGGAACCACCAGGAGAGCCGCATTTTGAGAACCTCAGGGCCCGCGGAGGCACAAAAGGTCTGAGATAAATATATAATATATATAATATATGTTATTTCTCTATTTTTGTGGTTCCAGAGTAAACAATTAGTCGACTGATCAAGCAGAAGTTTAGCAGGAACAAGCGTGCTGCTTTTATTGTGCTGATAGAAGTAAATGAGCTCCGTAGGTCGCCGCGCACTCTGGCTAGTGTGTGTCTGACAGGTGTGTTTGTGATGTCAGACTCTGCAGGTGCTGGTGCACGGGGAGGGACCAGATGTGACTCCGGTGAAAGTGTTGAACTGTGACACCATCTCCCAGGTGGGTTTTTGTTTTCTCTCTCAGGTTGTTGTTTCCAGAGTTTCTTCAGCATCTGGAGCTGAATATGTGATGTGTTTGTGTTTGTCCGGTCCCTGGTGAAGTGAAAATGTTTTTTTATATCATATTTTTTTTGCTCTCCAGGTGAAAGAGAAGATCATTGATCAGGTCTACAGGAACCTGCCGTACTCACAGAGACCAAAGGTGGAGAATGTTGCACTGGGTAAGATACAGTCAAAATATATCTGAAAAATACTTTAGAATCATTATTATTAACAGTTATTTTATTGGTATTTATATAAACAAATAATTTGACTGTCACTGGATGCTACAATACAACATTCAAGGCCACAAACCAGGAGTTTGTCACCCCCTGCAGGTGTGTGGTGGACCTGCAGGGCTACAGTGAGATTTGGTGGCATAAAAATTTAAATACTAAGACAATAAAACTGTTTTAATCATATTTATCATCATATGTATTGACTGCACTTTAGTTAAGGAGTTGCACAAAGCTCTTATACAGACGGTAAACCTATTTACCCTTAATTAGAGAGATAAAGAGATTATTTTATTAGTCCCAAAGGGAAATTATGCTGAGAATCACAAAATTACTCAATGAGGTAGATAAATGTATAAATAATCTTTATTTAATTAGCTAATCTCATTGAGATCAGGCTCCCTATCGCTAGAGAATAACATAGACATAACCAAAGCACATTGAAGTTTTCTGTATCTGTCTCTGTACAGACACACAGACACACATTACAGTTAATTTTCTCATCCGTCCACAGAATGGCGTCCTGGCTCCACGGGTCAGATCCTGTCCGACCTCGACCTGACCTCCCAGAAAGAAGGACGCTGGAAGAGACTCAACACTCTGGCTCATTACAATGTGAGTGCTGTCTGTAGGCTTTTCATGTGAATACTTTATGATTTATTTTATACAGTGCTGTTCAAAATTTTTGCTTTTTTAGGGTTTCCCAGTCGAGACGCTGTATACCAAATGCATGATCAAATGAATAAATACACGCACAGCGATGTTAGTTGTAATCAATCGTACACCAAACTCTTTTTAATTCTTCTTTTATTAAGGTAATCGGCGAGAAGCTGCATTTTATGTCAAATAAATTCTACTTGATTTGAAACTGTTACTTATAAGCTGTGGCCAAATTAATGTGAATGGAATTAAATCTATAATATGTAACATTTATCCATTAAAGTGTCTATAAACACTTGACTTATCTTATATATTGTGTTGAGTTGTCTACTTACATTATCCTAAATGTTTCCAACAATGTTCAAACCCCGAGAAATCTGTCATTTCATTCACACAGGTCGTCTGTCAATGCGTTTTATCTCCTTTGTGCATCTGTCAGTGTTGTGGTTGTCTGCCAGAAGTCATAAATTGACTTTTTATCCAGTTTTAAGCCACTTTTTAACCATCCACCATTAAGCTCCTGGTCTGTATATTTTAGTCGTCGGACGTCTTGTTGTAGTTTTGATGTGAGAGACCCTCAAGCAGCAGAAAGGTACATTTAAACGTGTCAGTACTGGGCCTACCGGTGAAGTTCTGTCCTGTATTATCAAGAAAAACTCCTGGAAAATGTCTCAGAGAAGGATTTCTTTAAAGGGTGGAAACTCCGGTTTTGCCTTATTATGTTTGAAAAGCCTCAAAACTCCCTGAAATCCAGACCTTAAGCCCCATTAAGACTGGATTTATTTCTCCAGAGGAGGTGTGGGGGGGGGGGGATTTAACATTACCACAATTACCTGCTGTTTTTCTGTGTTTGTCAGCTTTTTGTTAGTCAGCTGGCCTTCAGGTTTGTCTCAAAGCTAATGCAGCGAGTCAGTCTGTATGTTTTTTTAATCAGCTTTGCCTCCGTGTGTCGAGTCCAGACCTTTTTCTCCGGCGCTGAAGCGACCAAAAAAACCTGACGTGCGCAGAAATGTCGAGCCACACGAGACTCGTGCTTCACAAAAAAACCAACAGCAACAAAAAACACTCGTCCAATCCTCCCCTCTGACATTTAAAGGAAATGATTTATTGAGAAAGCTGCTGTGAGACAAAGTGCTCCTTGATAAGCGCGTGCATAGTTCAGGTACAGACAACCAGACAGAGAATCTGGATTTACAGTGTTTTATTTTTTTTAATCGATTTCTTGTCTTCCAGGTCCGGGATAATGCCACGTTGGTTCTGTCCAGAGTTTTGCACACACAGTCCTTCCACCAGCACCAAGACAGCCACGAAGAGAGTATGTATACACACACACACACACACACACACACACACACACACACTGAGGATAACTTTACATTCAACTTATCTGATGGCTGTAAATTGTGGTTACTTTGAAGTTCCTGACTTTTTACTGAACATGAAATCAGGAGATATTGCCGTAAAAAACATTAATTTTCCTCTTTAAACTTCAGAAAACTCGCTTTAGAATCACATTTCTTGCATATCTGTATGTAGGAATACTTATATTAAGACATTTTTGTATTAAGTTTTCTAAAAAAGTGTTTAAATGTGAAAATGAGGCATTATCGACTTAAAAATGTGCTAATTTGCACAACAAATGTATATCCAGCAAAACGCTTTACACTCAGAACGAGAGCAAACAGTAATTAAACAAGAGCTCCAACTTAATGTGCTGTCATTCAAAGCCTGTCGCACTGTCGCATATATTTGCTCTCTAATTACATGGTGTCAAATATGTGACTACGGCGTCTGAATAAAGACATAAAAGTCACTTATGTGTCTAAGTAACAAAAAGCTCTAACAGATGAAAAGATATATTCTCTCTCTCTCTCTCTCTCTCTCTCTCTCTCTCTCTGTAACTCTGTAACTCTTTCTCTGTCTGTGTCTCGCCAACAGAAAACTCCCTGCTGGAGGACGACAACACCTTCCACCTGGTCAGGCCGGCAGACGAAATCGATGAAGTGAAGTCAAAGAGAGGCAGCATGAAGGACAAGGCGATGACCAAAGCCATCACTGAGATCTACCTGACCCGGCTGCTGTCTGTCAAGGTACAGCTCTGTCGTGTGTGTGTGTGTGTGTGTGTGTGTGTGTGTGTGTGTGTGTGTGTGTGTGTGTGTGTGTGTGTGTGTGTGTGTGTGTGTGTGTGTTGTGGGGAGAGAGAGATTGAAGATAATGTTTGTTAGCCTCTGTGGTTTAAAGTACATCCACTTAAGTGTTTCCATACTTCTGTGGACTCGTGCTAACCCTAACCAAGCTGTTTCACCATAAATGCATCACAAATTTCTGTGCCATTTCTGGTCCCCTTTTCATCCGCCACTGCTTCTGCTCCACTAAATTTCAGATTCTACATTTATTTAACATATAAAGTTACTATGTAGATTAAGATTTTACATAAATATTATTCAATATAATGTATCTAGGGAGAAAAACATCATAAAAATCATGAAATTGTTTTATTTTAGTCTAGATACATTAGAAAATAGCTATTAATTAATTATTTTGTTAAACATTTGACAATTAGAGCTGCAGTAGGTAATTTGTAGAAAAATAACTTTTTGTCATATTTGCTGAATCTTTCTTGATATCCTGACAGTAGAACATGAGACAGATAATCTATGAAAATATCAGCTTCCTCTGGCTCCTCCTAGTGCCCCGAATGGCATTTACGAGAATCCACCGGGCCCGAACGAAAACAACCAATCAGAGCAGAGAAAGATGGAAAGACACTTTGTGTTGGTGGCTTAAAGATAGTTGATTGTTGAGTATCTTTTTGCGTTGTCATGCAGTCACATGACCTGAATACTTGACCCCCTAAAGTGCTATAAGTGATATTAGGGATACGTCTTCCACCACTGGTTGAAGAGTTGTACAGCGTTACAGTTTACCGTGCAGACGACACAAAGCCACAGCGCTAGAGGAAAAGGTCACAGGGTCCGTTAACTCAAGACATTTCTTCCCGTTGGGAGTTTTTTTTGAGTCAGAAGATATGCTTTTAATTTGAAAATGAAAAGGTTGCCTGATTGTGCCACTAAAGAAAAGGAAAGGTCATATTCAACAGGTTTCCTCTTCTCAGGAGAGTGAATGTGCAGAGCCAGTGGGTTTTAGTTTGGTTTCAAAATGGAAGAAACTAAACAGATTGTGACTTCCTCTCTAAAATCTAACGACGTTCATCTACGTCTCTTTCAAATATCACAGTGCATAAGCTTTATATATATGTGTGTGTGTGTGTGTGTGTGTGTGTGTGTGTGTTACAGGGCACTTTGCAGCAGTTTGTGGACGATTTCTTCCGCAGCGTGTTGGGCTCGAGCTCTGTCGTCCCTCCTGCCGTCAAATACTTCTTCGACTTCTTGGACGAACAGGCGCTGAGACACGACAACGTGGACGAGGAGACGCTGCACATCTGGAAGACGAACAGGTACACGACACAGCCGTGTCAGACCACCGTTCACGTGGTAGAAACGTTTTCAGTTTACAGTTACTAAACCCTACAGGTGAATAGGGTAAAAAATTTAACTAGTAGGTATCACCGTGAAACTTCCCCAGTTGTTTATTTACATTAAAACAATAATTTTTTGTATTACAAGTTTTCTGAATTTGTATGTTTAAATATGCAAATAAGGCATTAACTACTTAGAAATGTGTTTCAGGATTAAATTTTTTTGACATATTAGAGAGGAAATAAATCAGGAGAGAGAGAGAGAGAGAGAGAGAGAGAGAGAGAGAGAGAGAGAGAGAGAGAGAGAGAGAGAGATAGATAGATAGATAGATAGATAGATAGATAGATACTTTATTTATCCCAAGGGAAATATAGTTGGAAGTATATTGTCAATAGCCATAAAAAACATCTATTTTTGCCATGTTTTTAGGAATAAAATGTGATATAAAGCAGACTATAAATGATGTATGAACAAACGCCTCTGTAAAAACCTTCAGAATATAGAGAGGAATGAAAGTGGAAGGTTTGCTGTATGTAAGTGTTACTGAAGTGGAGATTTCTGCCACAGAGTGTGAGAGAAAACTGCCTTCAAAGGTATGTATTGTAAAATTCAATACAATTTGAAAGACACTGCAGGTGAATTTAACAAATAGATATCACCATGAAACCTCCCCAGTTGATTACTTTTTCTGAAATGTTTAGATAAGCCATTATCTAATACTTACTTTAGCCGAATTTAGGAGAAATCTACAGACACAATTATACAAACTGTAGTAAAATAAACTTTCCATTAGTCTGAAAGAGGACATGCAGTTAATTTGTTTGATTATTGCCACAATTAATCATAATAGTAATCAGAAAATATTAAAATATGCCCATTACAGTTTCTCAGAGCACATGATGATGTCTCAAAATGATTTATTAAGTCTAAAACCTAAATATTTATAATGATATAAAACAGAAAGAAGCAGCAAATCCTCACATTTGAGACATAAACCCAGATTATTTTTAGCATTTTTGCTTGAAAAATGAATCAATTATCGGAATTTGCTTATTTATTAGGTCAATAGACATAATTGAGTATAATTGAGTAATGGTGTTGCCGGTGTTTGCGCTGTACAACCTTTATAGAGGAATATAGACAACAGGAAAGCATCTGTGATTGAAACATGTGTGATCAGTATCCCAGCTGTAAGTGGGAGACTAAAACTCTCCTTTGACGTCATTCAAACACTCGGATCGGACTCTCAGCGACAGACTGACTGACTGATATATGTGACTCTTTAACTGATTCGACGCCTGCCAGCTTCTCTCTTCAAAAGCTCCTCTGAATCTCAGCTGGAGAGATACGACCTGTGAAGAAAACCTGCTAAGCGAAATAATTACACCGCTTCTCAAGCTGTGTGTGTGTGTGTGTGTGTGTGTGTGTGTGTGTGTGTGTGTTATACCTCATCAGCTAAACTAGAGTGTAATTATGTCCTCGTCACCGTTAAAGCGAGGCAGTCAACAACATGAAAGCCCGATCTGATCGTCTGTTATCAGGACGGATAAATGATGACAGAGCGGAGACGTTGGAGACAGATGGAGATGGAAAGATTGCTTTTTTTTTTTTTTTTACTTCTCTTGCTTTCAAACTGGCCTTGAGCTCCACCTGTCAATCATCAGGAAGACACACACGCACACACACATACACATAAACACGACGGACAATGAAATATTCATTAGCTGTAGTGAATTATTGACGAGGGTCTGTGGAGGCAGATACGGAGCAGGAGGAGATGAAAGGACGGAGGGAAAGGGAAACAGTGCGTCAGCAGGTCCGTAAAAAGTCTGAAACTGACAGGGGTGGAAAGTAACTAAGTACTCTTACTCAGTCACTTAAAGGTCCAGTGTGTAACATTTAGGAGGATCTATCAGCAGAAATGTAATATGTAATATTCATTATGTATGTTTTTATTTGTGTATAATCACCTGAAAATAAGAATTGTTGTTTTTGTTGTTCTTTCTTTTTTCTTCTTGCCTAATTTTAATTTGATAAATACATAAATAAGACACTAAGTAAAGGTGACAATGTCAGTGTTATTAGTTTCAGACAAACTTTAGCAAACCAAGTTTCATTTAGTTTTTTGCACCATATTTGTATTGATTTTATTTATTTTAGCATCTAGAAGCAACCACATAGACAATAAACTGTAGGAAAATTAAGGCGGAACAAGCTGGTGGACAAAATGTAAGACTTAAAAATAAGGAACAAACTACAATACAGATCAACATCAGCACAAGTTCCAGGTATTTAACATAATAATAAAGTTTTAAAGGTCTCGGTGTTGGCAGCAAGCGTCCTGACCTCCTCTGTCTCTCTGTGTCCTCAGCTTGCCTAGTCGGTTCTGGGTGAACATCCTGAGGAACCCGCACTTCATGTTCGACGTCCACGTGACGGAGGTGGTGGACGCGTCGCTGCACGTCATCGCTCAGACCTTCATGGACGCCTGCACCAAGACGGAGCACAAGCTCAGCAGAGTCAGTACCCCCACCAATACAGATCGTACAAAGTGTTTAGGAGACAGGAAACTTTTTGCTCTCGGAGTCTGGAGCTCCACTCAGTCAGTTGCTCCTCCTGAAATATAAATCCCATCCTGAGCGGCATTCTTGTATTTTAAAGGTCCAGTGTGTAACATTTAGGAGGATCTATGAGCAGAAATGCAATATAATATTGCATAGGTATGTTTTCATGTTGAACTGCCAGGTTGGTACAGAAGAGACAAACTAAACACTGCCACTAGATAGGGCATTTGTTTGTGAAAACAGATTAAGTCAAAAATATTCTATGTAAAGCTCCTTAAATGGGCTGTTACAGGTAGGGCTCCTTTAAGCACCGCTTTTAGCCTGTATTTGTCTACATTTTAGCAAATTAGCACCATTAAAAGTAAGCCGAATTAGCCATTAGCAGTCCCTGTTTGCAGTGTACCCATGGATGTCCAGACAACTATCACTGGATTACTTTGATACTGAAGAAAACTTATAAAGGGGATTATTCTGAGGCAAGTTCTGAAGCTCCTTTTTTCCTATGATTTCTAAGCGGCCTTACAGTCCAGTGTATCTTTAACTGAGAACACGTCCCCAGTCCCTCAATGGCTGTTGTCAGCAGTCTTAGTGGTACACACAGGACGCAAGGAGGCCGGCTGATGGAAACTGGCTGCGGCAGGAGAGTTAATTACAACAGTTAATCATAAAATGAACTCTGCACTGTTTGAACATCACAGGCTGATAATAAGTAACAGTGCAGGAATTGGGAGGAGTTCTCTTTTAAACATCTTTTTTTGGAAGTTGATTCTGAGACTTTGAAATTGATCTTTTCTGTTTTATTCTCCTTTCTCTGACTGCAGGAGTCTCCCAGCAACAAGCTGCTCTATGCAAAAGAGATTTCAACGTACAAGAAGATGGTGGACGAGTGAGTGTGTAGCGCTAAATATACACAGAAACTGAACAGATGTGTGTCTAATTGTATTTGACAAGAACAGCTGTGTTGCAGAGGCAAAGAGTTCAACTGATGAGACTGAAAACGTATTAAACTGAGAGTTGTTACAACAGCAGAATATTATTAATATAGTAATGCTCTTTGAGGTGTCCATTATCAGGAATGAATGGACGACGTGGACGCCGGTACTGCAAACGCAAATGTTATGAATAATGACTAAACAGAGGTTTAATGTACAGAAATATTACATTATGTCACATCCTTTTATAATGGACTTAATGAAGTACACAACAGACTATATTTTGAGCTGCTCATGTATGATTCACATACATATATATATATATGGCAATTTAAGTTTAATAAACGCGTCGTTGTCATTTTATCACCTGATATAATTTGCTAAATGATTGGATGTGATGTTTTGACTCTGTGTGTGTGTGTGTGTGTGTGTGTGTGTGTGTGTGTTTGTGTTTGTGTTTGTGTTTGTTTTCCACAGTTACTACAAGGGCATCAGACAGATGGTTCCAGTCAGCGACCAGGACATGAATACACACCTTGCTGAGGTGTCCCGGGTATGAAGTTACGCTGCTTATGTGGATAATTATGGAATAGTACTGTCCAACTTCAGGAGAGTTTTACATATAAAAACATATGATGCACTGTTAAAGATGAGTTAAACAGTTACCATTCATTGGTATCAGTATGAATGAATGTATAAATATATGTACTTCTGTAATTATGATCAGAGGCAGATCCATTTTGGATATAAAGTATGGCCATTATTGCTGCCAAGTGCATTACTTTATGTTTCCTGATTGAAGCCTGAAATATGAGCAACAATAACAAACCCAGTACAACCAATAAAGACTTTAATCTTTGGAGTAATTTGCTTTTTATGATTCGTTTTCTTTAACAACCTGATGAGCATAAACCTAGAAACAAACTAGATGTTTGTGTGGACATTTTTTATGAATATTACAACCATCTCTGTGAAACTGGGATTTTATAATGTTTTAATATTTAACCTTTTTTTTCCCACTTTGCAGCAACACACAGACAAGCTGAACACCCAGGTGGCCTTACATCAGCTGTACCAGTACGCCAGCAAGTACTATGATGTGGTGAGAAATGCCTTTCAGTTTCAAATTGTTATTACATACAGTTAAATTTCTACTTTTGAGAGAAAAATGAATGCTGTATTCTTGCGGGTTTACTTTCTTTATTTCACCAAAATGATGTCACAGCCATTTGTATAACCTTTACCAAATGCAATGTTGTTATTATTGGGCTGATATTGGTGTTTTTTGTAATAAAATCTAAGCATCATCAACCTCCAATATGGTTAAAAGTTTAAATGATTAGCTCACAGATAGTTATCGTAAAACAAACACAATTCCGGCTGTTTATGGGAAGATCTTAACTTATTCTTGTAAAAGATTTTTAGTCAGATATACCAGAAGTGAAAATAAAAAAAGGTCAAAATGTTAAATTTTGTGTTATCATCTTCTTCAGATCATCCAGTCGCTTGATGAGGACCCAGCAGCCCAGAATAAACAGCTCACCCTCCGCCTCCAACAGATCGCTGCCGCCCTGGAGAACAAAGTCACTGACCTTTGACCTCTGATATCACGGAGGGGTCAGTGGGGGGAGCTAACGGCTACTAAAACACAGGATGTTTTCCATTTAAAGACTCAAAGGAGGACGAGCTCGTGGACTCTACCGAATGTTTGACCATATAAGGACTGAAGAGGGAGGGGCTAGTGGAGCTACAGGAAGCTGTTAACCACATAAGGACTGAAGGGGGGTGAGGAAGGGAGATTTTAGACAAATGAAGTGTTAAAATATGCCCAGAGTGGTGGACACTGAAGCGCTGATATCCGCTACACTTGTATGGCTTACTTCCACTTGGCATCCCGAAACAAATACCAAGGAGGTATTGCAAAATGGCGACCATAATATGGCTGCACATGGGAGCTTTGTGAAATCAAAGGGTTATTTTTTTAAAGGTAGCTAGGGCGTTCGGTCTGTGTAATTCTCGGATCAAGCTGTTTCTGTGTTTTGGCTTCTAAATTTTAATTTTTTCCATATAACAAGTGATGAAGAAAGTGTCACACAAGGAATGAAGATTGAAGATTTTTGGATAATTGAAGAATATGATTGAAGTAATGTGACATTACCAAATATTTTTCTTTTTGCTGCCCTTTTGGAAGTTTTCATTGGAAGTACGGCTGCTCCAGGACGCTTTGTGACCTTATCATATTACAGCGAAAGTCTATGAACTGTGGATGTAAGGTGATTTTTGTCTCGTAACTCCTGATCTGAGGTCAGTTTTTCTGTCTCCATACTAAATTGTAGCCAGGAAATCTGATCTCTTGTCAGCAACAGGGAGCGGTTTGTCATCCTATAGCGTGAAAATGCCCGGAAGAACCTTCAAGTGCGCTCAAATAATAATCAACCAATGAAAACCCACTATGGTACGCACCACTGGCCAATTTAGGGTCATGGTTTGTCTTGATGGCACAACTGAGGAGAGTGAATTCAGGGTACGATGAGTTGAATTAAGTCCAAAAATCAAACTTGCAACATAGACTTTTCTTGTATCACGGCCAAATGTTGTTTTTCATATCAGATTAGCTGCAGTATGTGTTTCTATGCTGATGACACTGTGCTGGTGACTCGAATCATTGCCGAATAATTTCATTCAGTTTAGTTTGTTTATTATTATTCTTTGTATGCAGGCTTTAAGCATAGGCTTTGCATTTCCATATACAACATGACATGTATCTTTTTAATGGACTGATACAGTGCCACTTAGTTTTTCTGTAAAGTGTTAATCGGGGTGGTCCATACATAATGTCATATCCTGTGCGTAAGTGTGTGTGAGTGTGTTAATAGTTACCGATGCCGTTGCCGCTCTGTTGCTGAGGACCAGCTTGTTTTTACTTTCTGTGAAAAATCATGACTGCCTAATCATGTGCTCTAAACAGCCAAACACTTTTATTGTTAAGTCTGATTTGTTTTGTTTTTTTTTAATTTCACGTCTTTTGCAATACTCCCTTCGTATATAATGCTGCATTTTGTTTCTGTTTAACTGCACACGTAAGAGGAAATTACTTAAGTGTCTTCTGAAGACAGGGTACCCACAGATCCTTTAAAAAGGCTTAAAATGAATCTAAAATTAAGGTGTTGTTAAATCCAGTTATTGTAAGTCCCATTTGCAGATACATGCATCCAATGCAACAGCACTACTACACAGTTTGACTTCTATTTACTTGATTTCACCAGGTTATTGCAGTCGGTATCAGTGCTGCTATCCAAGGTGTACATACATTTAAAACACACAGCCAACCATCTTGATGTCTCCTAACAATTAATAGTCTTATTCCTATTAACTATGGAAGATTTATAAAGCATAAAAACAAAGAAATAAACCACAATAAACATTATAAATACACAGGATTCTTTCATCACACATAGACACGATAAGCAAAAAGTCAAATATTTTTTCACATAACATTTTGTTTTTGTATTTTTGTGCAAAATAATTGTGACGCAGCACCTGCAGAGACTTGGATATGTGCCTCCTAATGATTGCCTCCTCCGTATTCTCCCCATTAAATGTTTCGTAATGTTCTTGAGGTTTTCTTTAACCAGAAATAGGCTTTTTCCTGCTCAAACTCTCTTAAAAAAATATTTCAAGAATTTTTTTAACAATCCATAAAGCAGAGTGAGGGAATATACATATATATGTCATGTCAATTTTTAATTAGAGAAATATGAAGAAATACATAAACCATATGATCGTTTCTATTACCAACCGCTCTGTAAGTGAGTGACTTGAGGACCAAGTTATTAGAAGATCTTGAACAGTTTTGCGTTTAAGTGCCGTTACACCACTGAAGTGTAAATGAACTCATTTATCTTCTCCTATGCTACGTATTAATCATCGTCACCATAGAGTCATCACATATCTACATTATTCTTTGCCTTCTAAGCCCAGACGACGTGCTTTATGTAGTGCTCGAGTTATAATCAAAGATTAAATATGCAGTTTGTAAGTGGGATGATGAACCCCCTCACCCTCTGGGAAAGAAGGATTTTCTTTGTTTTTTGTTTTTGGGGGTGTTTTTCTTTGTGTGTGAAGTTTGGATTTATTGATTCCTCTGAGGTTTCAATTCTTACAAACTGCATGTTTAAATTCTGAAGCAATACGACCTCACGGCTGGTGCTGTATCTTTGTACTCCGACTCCTTAAGCTGCGGATGGACACACTGCAAGGTTCTTGGCACCACATGACCTCCAGATACAAAGACTGAAATAAATACATCTTAGCTTTTGTTTTGTTTTTTTCCTCTCCACTTCTCATTAGCTTTCTTCTGGGCATTTCTCTCTCAGAAATTTGGTTTTAAAAGCCACTTTGGTGCCAAATAACTTCAAGAAACTATCTTGTGTGTGTGTGTGTGTGTGTGTGTGTGTGTGTTATTTCCAGGAACTCGAGTTGTCATTTGAGTTGTGTGTTTTTGATGCTTGTAGAAATAAGAAATAAGGGGAACAAACCATTGTGTATTAAATAATCTGGTGGTACTTTTATAAAGAAAAAAAAAAGAAACAAACTGTTAAAATGTGAAACTTTTTTGGAGGTTCTTTTCAGTGCCGGTTCTGACGTTCAGATACTGGAAGACCTTTCGCAAAATTTCACCAGCTTTTCAAAGCAAACTGCCACGTTTGCTTTTGATGTTCAGCTCTTTAAATGGTGTTTTCACATTGTGTTGCTTGACATCAGAGCTCAATCCACTCACACTACGGATATTAACTGTAAAATACGAGACATCCAATTAATGCTGAGAAGTATCACGCAGTTTATCTCTTAAAAAAAGTCAATATCTCTACTCCTTCACCAAAACTAGCTTCTTTCTGCCTTCTTTTTGCCACCAGTGAGTGCCTTAAAGAGTAGAACTGAAAGTAGATTTGGAAGTAAAAGCCAAAAAAGAAAAGAAAAAAGGTGTCTAGAGGCACATACACGTTTATAGTAGGTTTACTGCATGTTTGTGGTTTTTAACTGGAAGATCACAACAGGACAATGGGAGATGATGTAAAGTATTTTAGAAAGGGCAAAGTTGGTACTGAGAGAATGTTTTTAAACCTTGTACAAAAACACATTTATACCACTATTATCAGCCCTGTTGTCCAAGAATTCAATGCTTTAGAAGTTGTCAGAAACCATTCAGTAAGTTTCACTTCAGTGTCAGACATTTATAAAAAACAAAACCATGATTAACACCGATAAAGTGCAAAACATCTGTTACGCAGAGGGCAGGAGTCAGTTTCACCAGCTGTTCATAAGTTCAAACCGATGAGATTAAAACAGGTTGCACCACATAGTTACTAATTATTTACACCTAGTAACTGCCAGGGGTAACTTGGGGATTGGGACCCCCACTAGGGGTCGCCAAAGCTTCATGGGGGGTCGCAAGGCCTTTTTGATTTTAAGGAAAACTTAAAGAATAAATACACAGTAGGCCTATAGCTCAACATTTGGTTCACTTTTGTGAAGAAATGTATGTCTAATAGAAGAGTGGTCAAGCGTCAGGAACAAGAAAGCACTGAATTTGTCAAAAAAGAAGCCTATAGTATGTGTGCTTGTTGTTAAAAAATGTTAAAATATATCTATATAAAAAGTTCTCTAAACATGAAATAATCTGCTTCAAATTCATGCAAATCACTCGTTTTACACAAACCTCTTGTAGTTATTGAGTTCACGGTTTGGTGGTAATTGTACAGTTTTGAAAATAATATGAAATATCCTTAAAATATGTAACTTAGTCAGTTTACTAACTGAACCAACTGACAAAGCTAATGTTAGCTTGCTAATATCTGACTCGTTTATAGCAAAAAGAAGAGGATTACGGTCAACACGTCCGGCGTGAAACTTAAATATTGTTTAATAATGATGAAATTTCATATAAATAACACAACATATCTCAAATACTATATTTACAAAGAATATATCTTTTGTGCCTCTTACGGATGATTTACACATTACTAAATCTTAAGCTAAGACATTCCTGCTTTAGTTTGAAAGTAGCTCGCATTCAGTAAAAACTTAGATAGCACTTTGCATCCAAACTTAGCAATAGATTTATGAATAGCTGGTGCAACCAAATGCTGGGGACTAGCCCACTCTGCTAGCTGACCTAGCTTCTGTAACGACATGGGTTCAATCGTGTGTCTTTTTTTCGGTGTTTCTATCCATATTCTACCCCTATGTTGTACTGGATGCTAACATTTGAACCCCGTGTCATTTGAGTAGACCGTTAAAAGCGCCATGTACAGAACTGGAGTCAGAATGTGGTTAGCGTAGCTTAGCATAAAGACTGGAAGCAGGGGGAAACAGCTAGCATGGTTCTGTCCAAAGTTCGAGACTACCTACCAACAACTCTAAAGCTCATTAATTCCCTGAGTTTATTAATCTTAATATTCTTAGTTGAGCTAATCATCTCCTGGCTGTTAACTTAGTTTATGTAAAGTGATATCAGTTTAACTCAAAGCCAATGTATCTACCAAAATGTTGACCTATATAGTGTCCGTGCACAATATTTTTAACCCTCACACGTCCAACTCTTTAGGTTTCTGATGGCTGGCCTTCGTAAGCATTAGCAAACGGTCAAGCCTTGAGTTGTTGAATGCTTACAAATGATCTTAACTTTTTGGTTTAGTTTAATCTCCATCCAGACCAGTAGTTGATATTATCTTAGAAATATGGATAGAAAATGACAAAAACACATCAGTTTTTTCAGGCAACTGATGAAGGAAATCCTGTGGAAGACCGATACTCGAACGCTAAACCCAAGATAGTGGATCATTTTTGCCTCGCTCACCAACGGCTCTGCAGCAGTTTGCGTTGCCACGTACGTCGTCATTTCACGCAGGCAATGAAAAATTAAGAAAACAGAAGCAAAAGATAGCATAGGCTTTGTCAAGACATAGTAAAACGCTCTTGTACTCGTCTGTTTTTTTGGGGAGATATGTTACACAGAAATATTAGCGTACTGGATTGTGAATCATTGGATTTTGTTTGGCACAAAACCTGTGAAATGTGTTGGTTTAACTCCCACATTGTATCTGTATATTCCCCACTCGATGTTCCAGTTCAGTAGAAGGATGTGACCTACATATGTGATGTTTCGTTTGAGGTACAGGAAATTGTTCATGTGTAATGACTGGATGAAGGATCAGCACAGGGAACTGAGCCTTCGCTGTAAGTAGATCTTATTCGTCCGCTATTTGAAGATCTGTGTGTTTTAATGACGTAAAACTGAAAGCGTGTTTGAAAATATATTGTTTAACGAGGCACACGTAAAAACAAGAGAGATTTTTGAATGTTATAAAGAAGAATCGACCACTGGTACTGATGTTTTAACCGACATCACAAGGGGTTAAATGTGTTTATACCATTGTATAACAGTTTGTACATCGAATACAACCTTCCCATTGTTTATTCTTGTAACATCATTGTAGGAAACAAAAGGTTTGGATGGACTGGACCAAGTGTAGACTTTGCAGAGAGAAACAAGACACTACCAGTAACCAGGACCCCAAAATGGTCTGGACTGGAGCCCAAATCGGTGACTCTTCTGAGGAAGTGGAGAAGTGGGCAGAAAATCCAGATCCAGGAAGTCCAAATATCCAATAAAAGATGTTTATACAAAAAGAAAAATGTTCTTTTATTGTTCTGGTGTCTTTCATTCTTCTGCTGTTGCTGTTATGATCCCATTTTGGTGTCAAATTTAACACATTAATTTGGATTAATTTGAAAATAAGTTCTTAGGTTTAATGCTAAAAGACATGTATTTGGAAAAATGTCAGAAATAAACCAATTTCTTGATTTCTAACACCATCTTTAGATATTTCTACCCAATGTTTTTGAGTCGAAACATCTTCAGTTGGGGCAAATATGAAGAAAATGTGAATGTTTTGTGATTAAATCAGATTATATATATATATGCCACCCCGTGAATATTTCTCTAGATCTGCCCCTGGATATCGAGTCCACAAGCACATGATGATGGATAAACACATGATCTTTGACTTTAAATATGTTTCTACATCAGTTTTTTTTATCTTATTCCAAAGGTTACGTAGCGTAACCAATGATACTAATTAAAGTAAGGAATTAGTATCATTGTTAACACCTGTGTTTACCTTACTCTTTCATGTCAAAATGGCTGCTGTGAAAAAGGTCTACTGGGGTTAGATTCGGTTTAAACATCAAAGCTGCTAACCATTAGCTTAGCTTAGCATAAACACTGGAAGTAAAGGGAAACAGCCAATAGCTCTGTCCAAAGTTTAAAAATACATCTAGGAAAAACTAAAGCTCGCTAATTAACCCAATTTGTCTCAACTGATTTATCTGTACGCAAATGTAAAAACGCATTAAAACATTATGCGGTTGTATTTCTTCATGCTAAGCTACGCTAATTGGCTCCTGACTCTAGCTTTGATGCTTAACAAACACATGTGAGTGTGATATCGATCATCTCGTCTAACTCTCAGCAAGGTGAATAAGTATCTCTCAAAAAGTTTTAAGACATCTTCGTTATTCATAGCTGAGACCGGCTTTACTTTATAATCCGATCATTTAAATGCTGTTAAACTAACAAAAAACGGACAAAAGGGCTTTGGTGGTTTCATCAGATTTCAGTTTCTCAACTATTCCTGCATGAGAGGAAGTCCATCAGGATGTTTCACAGCAGAGAAATTATGTTTAACTGATAAACATGTCGATACACCGCAGACCGCCTGAGGCGAGGACACACAACGGCCGCAGAGGAGCCTCCTGTTTATGATTCACGGATGATTCAAGGATAAATTGCACCGGGTTAACTCCACGAGGAAAATATATTATTAATGAATATTTGCTTGTTTTGAATCACAATTATCAGTTCTTTGTGTTTAATTAGCAAAACTTCAAAGCGTCTGTGGCAAGAAAGGTTTGTCTCTGTCAATGCAACAACTGTGTGTTTTTAAACTAATAAAACTCATACTGACACTGATTTACTCTTAACTGTGTATTTAAATTTGATGTGTCAATATTAGTTTTTACTCCATTAAATCTTGACAATGACTAAACTTTTTAAATGTAATTATCAGCCAGTTTCTAACACATTATATAGAGATAAATATATTACAACACTGCCTCCCTGTGGTCTTAATTATGAATTGCACTTTTAAACTTTAATTCTGTTTGACTGAACTATTTGATGGATATAAATAGTTTAATGAAACTGAATGGATTGGACTTTTCTTTCCAGAAAGAGGCAGTATAGACACATTTAAATAAGTTTCTTCCTCTGATTCAAAGTTTACATTTGTTTATTAAATGTTGCAAAGAAATATATCTTATATATTATGTTGTGATGTATTTTTATAACAGGAAATATGAAAGATCTGCATTTTAAAGACAGCTCTTTATGAGTAAGTGTTTTACATCAGTAGTGGAAAGTACATTAATTCAAATAATAGTAAAAATGTTCAGTATTTTCATTCTTTATTCTTCAATATACTTCAGAGGGAAAGTGTACTTTCTTCTACTCCATTACAATTATCTGCTAGTAACAAGTTACTTTACAAATTGATTGATTTATGAGACATATGATATATTATAAGCTCATGAAATACAATATACTGTTGTGTCTGAAACGTTTGTCTGTTCTGGGCTACTGTAGAAACATGGTGGCCTTCATGTACCCAGGTGACCCGTGGCATCTGTAGATATATACAAAGCTCATTCTAAGGTAAGAAAACTACAACAATTCTTTATTTTCAGGTGATTTTACGCTAATAAAAACATAAATATGCAGATTATATTCAATTTCTGGTAATAGATACTCATTAAAGTTACACACTGTGGAGGCCAATCTCCAAGCAGCAAAGGGATGGTACTATTTATTAAGAAATGTTAGAGTTTGACAGAAAGTTTATTGCATTTAAAGCTCTAAAGTCGTGAGATAATAAAACATGTATGTTTCCATATTTTATATATTTTTTTAGTATTTGGTCCAATTGTTTTTTGTTTTTTTTTAAATGGTTAATTGTGTTGAAATCCAGAGTTGCAAAGTAGAAACTATTACAAACACCATTAGAAAATAATTCAATAAAGCGTGGAAGGTAAACTTGTGTTCATATAAACTTTTTGAGGTACACACTACAACTCCCAAGGTACATTTCGGCAACAAGCTGTAAATGATCCAATCACAGACTTCAGAATTATGTGACGTGCATAGCTAACGGTCGGAGCTCTGGCGGTTTTAGGAAAAACAGTTAAAAGGCTTATGGGTATTGTAGTATTTAGACCTGTCCGCTATGCTAAAATACGGTATGTCAGAAAATAGGTGGATATAATTAAATTGGTGACCATAAAATTAACATACAGGGTCGTTACTTCATGCAGGAGAGAAAAACTATAATATATAAATATATTATTTTTCTAAATTGATACAAAGACTCTGAGTTCAGAATAAATGACACACTCATGTTAACAGAAGTTATTTTTTTATTACTGCTAATTCACAGACAATTGCAAACAGGAAATATCAGAAATTAGATATATCTTATATATCCATCTTATTATTTAAAGAGCTCCCAGAAAAGTGTCCGCTTAAATAAACTTGAGCATCTTAAATAAACTTATAATAAATAATAAAAGATGTTCAGGTAACACTTCGGTTTATTCATTTCCAACTCTTTAAAAGTTTCCTGGAAAGAATGTCATTTGGTATTAATTATATGGACGAGAGATAATTGATTGCTCGTTTAACCTGGCGAATGTTGTAGTCAGTGCACAGCAGGGCTAGCATACAAAATACATTGTCTAATAATAAATTAATGTGTTTCTCTCTCTCAATGCAGTTACTATAAATAATACCAAATGACATGCTTCTTTCAGCACAACTTTAAGTGATTTGGAAATTACAACCTGTAAAATATAAAAAGGGTAAAGCTTTATTTCATGGGTCCATAATTCTTTTTAATAATTTCTTAATGTACAAAAACACTCCTGGAAAGAACTATGTCATCTGTTACTCATTATAAAAGGAGAAAAAAAAAAAGTGTTTAATTGCTATGCTTAGAAATAAATAATTCAAATAAATTCATCTCTTTTTTTGAAATTTTGCTGGACATTTACTTTTTTTTTTTTCATATAATTTCGTATAAAATTACAGAATCCTTTCCAGGAAATGTCGTAAGAAATTATAGACCCATGAAATAAAACGCCACTACTTTACAGCGTTACCAGATGATAGGACAAGACTTAAAAGTTAAAAAGGAACAATCCGACATTTTGGCGAGTCCTGATATGTTTTTTTTTAAACCCAAATGTAGATGAGAAAATGGCAGAAATGATCAAAAAGTTATAATTGCACGCTTATAAAATGGAGCTTGCAGTTTCCCTCTGCTTCCAGTCATTAAGCATCTGTTGTGTTTGATAAAGAGATATTTCTCATCTCTTCTGACTCTGGGTAGGATGGAAAACAGGAAGATTTCATCGTGAAGTTGAGGGCAGATTGTCTGTTTTTGGAATGAAAACTAATTTAATGGTTTTGAGGTTTAAGCATAATTAAAAATATAATGATAAAAGGTAATATTTTACCTTTAAATCAACAAATCCCATTAAAAAAAAGACCAAAACCAACCATCAGATATATCCATTGTGGTCCAAAAACTATTCCTGGGTGACATGTTCCTTCATTAGCATTAACACACCACGTAGTTTATTGTGACTCAATCGCACGTTCACTGTCCCGCTGCACCAAATATCACCAGAACACCAAATGTGGATTCATCCGCCGCTGAAAATAGTCCCCGAAAAAAAAAAACACATTCTCCTCCTGTTTTACTTTTTAAAGCCAAAATGCTGAACATTTAGTAACTGCAGCTTCTCATATACACAACGTTTTGCTGCTTGTCTGTTTTATATCACTGTAGGACTTCACCTTGTGCTCTTATATTTAACGATTATAGACAAAAAGATGAATTAGGTAAATTAAGTGATGATTAAAATGATGGTTAGTTGCAGCCCTGCTTAAAAAACTACCACTAACATTGTTGGTTTTGGTCTTTTCGGGAGTTTGTTGACAGAATAGAGACTAATGTCGAGCCTTACCAGCTTCCCACAGAGAGAGACTGAGACTTGACACGACACTGAACTTTTATTTGGTGATAATTCAACGTAGTTCTATGGTTATTGTTAAGTTTAGTGAACTCAGCTGAGGTAGGTGAGGACAGGTGGAGGGTGAGGACAGACGGGGTGTCTCAGCTGAGGTAGGTGAGGACGACAGACTGGATAGGCAGCCTGCAGACCGGACACAGCTTGTTCCTCTTCTTCAGCTTCCTCGCACAGACGTAGCAGGACATGAGGTGTCCGGTCCGTCCGTGGACGATGCAGCCGTTCTTCGGCCGGGACTGACAGATGAGACAGGGGTCCAGGCACGAGTCCGGCAGCCGCCACTCCGCCGACACGCTGCGCTCCAGCTCGGGGACCGCGGGGGGAGGCGGATCGGTCGGGGAAGACGGGAGAAGCTCCTGGGAGTCGATGGAGGAGGAGGAGGGCTGGGAGTCGGGAGTCCAGAGCTTCTGCTGGGAGAAGGAGGAGGAGGAAGGCTGCGAGGATGACAGGAGATCCTGGGAGTTGGGAGCGGAGGAGGTGGAGTCGGGAACGGAGAGCGCCGAGTCAGACAGGCACTGCGAGAGGAGAGGAGTTCTTGCTCTTTTCCCGTCTGGAACGTCGACTCCTTCGTTCTCCTCGTTGTCGGAACCTTCAGGAGACACAACCAATCAGTAAATCAATCATCAGTAGTGCAAAAGAGCTGAACGTTGGAAATGATCACAATACTAATCAATATTTAACAAATCACATAATCAAAATATAATAATCTAAATGTTTCATTTAACTTTGTTCCTGTTACCAAACAAAAACCTTCACATGTGTAAGTGTGAAACCTTAACTTTGGTAGCTTTTAAGTCAAAGTCAAGAGTCCTAATAAGCCGGAGACTACGTATAGACCAGGACCCACAAAGCTTTAACAGCACAGTAAGTTTTAATCCTGCTTGTTAATATCATATAAACCAAAAATCACGTAATACACTGGGTTTAAATGTTAAGGATTAAGAAACCATCAGTACAACCCCGGTCCTGACTCCGAGGTTCGGGACTTAAAACCTACCTGAAGCTTCTGTGGCTGCTGATTGGTCGGTTGGCTTTGGGGGCAGGGCTTTAGGGCTGGAGCAGGCCGACTTCGTTATATCCTCGGGCAGCCAATCGTGACGCAGCGTCCAACAGCGGAGACAATTTCTGGGGAGGGGGGGGTTCAGCTCGTCACACTTGACACACCTCCAGTAGTCCTGAGAGAGAGAGAGAGAGAGACAACACACAGTTAGACCTATACAACAGTGTGTCTGTGTGTGTGTGTGTGTGTGTGTGTGTGTGTGTGTGTGTTTAGACTCACAGCCTCAGTGATCTCTGTGTCTTCGTCAAAGGAGTCCTCATCCTCTTCCTCAAAGATGGTGACCTCGTATACCTGGAGACAGACAGACAGACAGGGTTTTGGTACAGTTAGCGCTGAAACAATTAGTCAATTAATCAATTATTCTAATATATCATTCTGAGTCATTTGTTTTTTTAAGAAGAAGGTCTTCGGGTTGTGGACAGAACGAGACATTTGAGGACATCACCTTGGGCTTTGGGACATCAGCATTTTCACTGTTTTCTGAACCAAACAACTAATCGATGAATCAGGAAAATGATGGATAATCTTCTAATAATTGTTAACTGCAGCCCTAAATGCCATCTTATTGAGATATGACTGAAATTCTCATTGCCTAATACATTTCTCATCATCAACAAACACAAAGACCTAAACCAACAATGTGTTAGTCCGCCTCTCAACACTTTGACTTCCTGTCTGTGGCCTCCAGCTCCAAGCCCATTGGTCCCCTAACAGCACAAATATATCGTTTCATTTGTAGAAAAACATCCAGTAATTTCCTAAAACAGCTCTTTACTGTATTTGTCAAACAAACAGGAGGACTTAGAGCAAGTTCTTGGTTATTTTAGGCAGCGGATTAATCCACATTTGGTGCTGCAGTGAGTATTTGGGGCAGTAGGACGGTGTATGTGAGTGTGACTCAACTACAGTGTGTGTCACCAGTGTGGCTCACTGAGTAAAAGTTTCTGGATTATAACGGAGGAAGAACATATAGTCGTTAACAGATACATTCAGGGTTGGATATATTAATAAGAATACAGAATGTCGTCATTACTTTGGTGTTTACCTGGTCATCTGCGGACAGAGAGGCATCGTCTTCGTTGTAGTCGTCAGACGCGATGGACTCCACCTCAAATTCGACGCTGAAGTTGTCGCTGTCTGAGTCTGAGGGTGCAATCGTGACCTCTGACCTCCCAGACTAAAACACACACACACACAGCACGCATTATAAACCAATACAACAATCCTGGATCAATCAAACAAAAGACAGTGTGTGTGTTTGTTATGTTGGAGGATAACACTCACTGTGCTGTGTGAGTCGGATGATTGGCTGCTGTGTCTGTCCCGCCCACTTCCCAGTCCACCAATCACACACCAGGACAGGCTCTCGTCAAAGGTCAGGGAGTAGCTGTCTGACCTTCTCCTCTTCCTTCCCTCTCCTTCCTCTCCCTCTTCTGACTCCTCCTCATCTTCGTCGTTCTCTACACTGTGGGAGGGGCCTGAGGAGACCGGGGCGGGTGGAGTTTAAGGCCACAATATCACAGGTTTGTCTATGAGCTTTAAAAAGATGTGGCGGCGCCTCGGAGGGAAGACTCACCTGGGTCACTGCTCCGGCAGCTCCTCCTCCTTCTCCTTCGCGTTCTCCTCCTATCCGGCGATGAAGAGCGACTTTCTGAATCTGCATCCTAAAAACACAAAAACACACATTCAGATCTGGAACTAAAATTCAGTCTTAAATCTTCTTCCTTGAATTTCATTTGTCCACTCTATCCTGTGTAGGACAATAATGTTTTACGTGCTCTTAAGTGTTACTTGGTGTAAAAAAGTAATTGATCAAGTTTCAGTTATTAAAAAAAACAACTATTACTATTATTCCTGTATTTGCTGCTGTTCTTGAGTTTCCATCATTAGTATTACTTTGTGCATTCTTTAACAGTTTTTGTCAACCTATTGCTCCCCTTTTTTGATTACTCACAGGACATTTAAATCTAAAAATCTGTCATAAAGTGAACATAAAAGTAGTGTGTGTATCATGTGGTCAAAAGGCAGCTATTATAAGTCACTGAATGTGGGTATCTTACCTCCGTCCCTCTATCTGTCTGGCTGTTACTGTGTGTTTCACTCAAGCTTGGCGATGACTCTGAGAGTGAGAGAGAGAGAGAGAGAGAGAACGACCTTTTAGTTTTGTCTGAATCAGTTGGCAGGAGAACAAGGTGAGGAGGACAATGAGGAGAAGATCTGAATCAAGGCTTCAGCCATATTTGCATTGACATGTTTCCTGTCATCAGTTTGACATTAGAGAAAGAAAGCAGTCCTACCTTGGCTCTTCACAGCCACCAGGTTCTTGGTGATCATAGCAAACAGAACTCTGAAACATAAACATATTTTAGTTGCAACATAAAAGGTCTTTTTTTAATATTTAAAGTACAAAATGTGATGCTTTACTGACAGAAAGGTCCCTTTCAGAAACTGTTCTTGTGGAGACAAACAGTGATAATGAATCTGAATCTCACCGTGGCTCCTTAACAGAGAAGCTGTCGACTCCCAGCACCCTCCCCAGTGCATCCTGGGAGCAGTGGACGATGTGCTGCTGCTTCTGGTCGTACAGCTGCTTCTGGATGATGTACTGACCGAGGTAGAACATCACCTGCAGGGGGGGAGACCGTCACAGATGCATCATGGGGGGGGGGAATGCAAACACCAGACTACACAGCTGTGGCTGAATGAAGCATTAAAACATACAGGAAACTTAATTTACTATATTACTGTACCTCCTTCATGGTGAAAACATCTTTAGTAGCTCCTGCATGTTGCAGTAAAGTACCGAACTCTACCTTCGGTCGGACCTAAACACACACAAACAGGAAACATTAAACATCTTTAACCAGCAGTAACCAATACGACAATACGTTCAACTTGAGAAAGATGGTGATGATTCTGGATGGTAGCTTAATCAATAACTACATTTTACCACCACAAATGGAAGAGATTATAAAATAGTCAGAAGGGGGGAAATGTGATGGAAATTGTTGTGATTAAAATGCTTATGTGCTGCCCAAACATAATGGAGTTACAACAGGTTAATGCTTTAGATTTAAAAAACATTATTAATGCAATGTAAAATCTATACTGGAGAAGAAAAGACAAAAGGATGTGAATGAAAATCAGCATTGGTTCCATGTTGGTTTTGTTTTGTAGACAAGAATATAACATTAATTCATTAATCCAATCAATTTTCAAGACATTTTAAGCCTTGTTGTGAAACTATGGAGTTATTTGGAAAGGTTAAATTCCCAGAAGAAGTACTTTGCTCCTCTCTGTGTCTGTAAGAGGTTCAACTACAGGCTCTCGCTGGCAGCAATAAATAAATCCTCTGGAATAAGAGATGCTTGTGTGTCCGAGTATTTTAATGGTTCTTCATCACAACGAGGGTTTCTGTCAGTAAACCAGCTGCAACTCACCAATTTGTTGTCGTCAGCGCCGTCGGTGTTAAGTTCCCCGTCAGCTGACATAGTGAAGCTGATCGATCCTGCACACAAACGGGGTCATTAGTGATTATATATTACCACATAAAATACATTTTAAAACCTGTTTCCAAAGTATTAAAGTCTGGAAAACCACTAGGGACACAAAGTCAGACATTTCTTCTGTTCTTTGTAAAGTTGTTTTGGTGAACAGCCGCCTGTTTACACACCCAGCAGTGATATTTCTGGCTCCTTTTAGCTTTGTTTTGTTTTTCCCTAACACAAATATCCTGTTCTTTAGCACCTAAATGGTCCTCTATGTTCACCAGCCGGCTGCCATTAGTGGTGGACAGGAAGGGTAACGGCAGAGGTGGGTGATACCTTCCCGTGAGCGTCAACTTCCACATTAAACAGTCATTTTTGTTCCGTTAGTTTAAAAACGTTGATGAGGGGAAACTCTAAAGCAACTGAATCTAGAGCCTGATTATTCTTCTCATTATCCACGTCTCTCTTTCTCTGTATTCCTGATTAATCCAATGTTGATAAACAGTTTCCCCAAGTCCACACAACTCAAACATATTCACATTTGAGAGGGTGAAAACAGAGAATTTGGATTATTTTCCTTTTAAAAAATGATTCATCAGTTATCCAAATAGTTGGCAATAATTAATTTAACAGTTGACAGCTGATTGATTAATCCACCAATGGTTGCAAGCCTAGGATGAGTCAGTCAGTGTGGAGCTGGGATGGACCCAAAGATGTCTCATCACCTTCTGTAGGCAGAAGCTCAACAGTTATTAGTGGCAGCCTGATTAATGTTCAGTCATCCTGATTAATGTTAAATACACTGATCAGATACCATTAAAGTCTAATTCAATTAATTCACAACAACAACAACAACAACAACAACAACAGGTCTGGTCACCAACTCAGATTCAGTTTGACTTTATACATAGTTGTAGGTAGTAGTAGTTTTGTGGTTTGTGGTGATTTATACTATGTTTCTAATAATTTAGCCAAAATAAATTGGATATTTGTATAAAACATATAATACCAATACAAGTCACCAGTACCACAAACTAACTACAGCCTCACAAATAACCACAAAGTAGAAGCAACAAGTCTCTGAAACAGTTTCATCAAACATTATATTATATTATATTCATGTTTATATATCATATACTCAGTGTTTTAACTAACCTTTGTTTTTCTCTATATGAAGTGTCAGTGGGTTACATGGAGGCACTTCAAATCTAATTTACTATTATTAAATTAGTTTGATTACAGGGCTGTAAAATATAAATAATATATATAATGAATTACCTTTACCACAACATATCAGCAACTATTCTGATAATTAATCATTTAAGTCCTCTTTAGGAAGTAAAAATGCAGAAACAGATAACAAACACTGGATTCTGCTTCTCAAAGCTGAATATTTAATGTTTAATTCAGTTGTCTATGATGGTTAATTCAAAATGTTTGTGTTTTTGACACAATAATTCATTTAAATGTGTCATTTCACAATTTTCTAGGCAACTTATTTGGTTTTAAACATAAATGAAGATAAAGTTACACATAAATCATTGAAAGTTTAGTGCTCCACTAATATAAAACCACCTATTTTCTCAGTTTATACTCATTTATACATTCATTGTGTGCAGTGTTGTTGAATATAAATGAAAAATAAAAGACTTACCAGTATATATACAGAGTAAAAAGTATCAGCAGTCCATCCTGTGCAAAAAAACAGATAAAGTGCAGTCAGAGTGGAGCAGAGAAGAGTTGTAGTCTCTTATAGACCTGCTCAGACATGTCAAGACTAGACCAGACTGTGGCCCGGCCTAGCCTAGCTTGGGGCCTATCAGGGCCCAACAGGGCCAGTCAGGGCTGAGTCAGCAACAGTTTGTTGTATGTTCTCGTTTAAACTGACTGTACCAGCTGATTGAATCACACAGCTCTCTCCTGTTAGACATGCCAGGACTAGTCCAGGATGACTCATCACTGTCAAATTTAGAAACCCATGCTAACCACAATGACACTAACCTCTGGTAACCAGGGACAAACTGGGCTAAACCATGGCTGGGACCACTGGCCTGGCCTGGCCTGAGTATGTCCCTGCAGCAGGACTGTCCTCAGGCTTTTAGGGGAAGTGGATAAAAGTCCGACCTGACGTAATTTCCCCAAATCAGCCCATCAAATTAAATTTGTTCCTCCCCAAAAAATTAAAAACATTCTTGTTTTCTTTTCTAAAAGCTTAAAAACTTACTTATTTAATATACATATACAGTTTAAATGTTGTATTTTAGATTATTATGGGGACATATTAAAAGGGAAGACAGTAAATATCTCACAGAAACAAAAAGGAGCTTTCATCAAATATATAATCATATTATCATAAAGTGAAATTAGTTCTGAGTTTCTGTGTACATTTCTACATAATTTAATTGTTTTCCTGTCAACATGGAGGCAGTAAATAACCCTGTAACCTACAATCAGCAGCAGACAGACTGACTGGGTTCAGGTACAGAGCAGAGTAACCCTGACCCTGGAGGCTGTGTGTGAGAGACCGATGAAAACCAACAAAATCATGAACAACAACAGATTTAATCACATTTTGACTCGTTTTATAATTCAAAATTAAAAGCAAAAATACAACAGCCACCTGTTGGAACCAATAATATGCTTCAAAAACAAATTAAACTATAAATCAGGAGTAATATCGCACACTTGGATTAAAAAAAACAAACTAATATTTCCATTAAAATCCTCATTTAATTCTCAAGTTTACAGCAAAAGAGGCAGGTTTTCTTTTCTCTATAGGATCTGCACACAACCTGTCCAGACTCAACCCGTGCTGCTGGTTAGCCCTGCTCGGCCCGGTTTGGCCCTGTTTGGTCCTTGAGTGTGTAAATATGTCTGGGCAGAGGTCTGAGTGAGTGTGCAGAGAGGTTGGGGGGGGCAAACAGCTGACAAACAGCATGAGTCAGCTGCTGCTCAACAGTTACAACACATGCAGTGAAAATATGCCCGGACATGTCCCGCTCTCCCTCCTCTCCTCCTCCTCCTCCTCCTCCTCCTCCTCCTCCTGACGTTGTACTACACAAACAGACCAGATGAAGGCAGACTCAGGTCTATCACCATGTCTGGATTACTTTCACTACAAACTAAAACGTGCACCAGTGGACGATTGATGAGTAGAAACTGAAGAAAAAAACAACAGTGAAACTTTCACCGCAGGAGGTTAAACACACATTGTGCAGCCTCTGGATGAATGAAGTTTGCTGATTTAATATTGTGCTTGCTTTCTATCTCTTTTATAACTTAAAAGCTAAATGTTAAAGCTTTATGTCACGCTTATGATAATATAACAACAACAACAACAACAACAACAAAACAAAAACAAACCGCATCGTAGCTTCCTTGTATGCTAAAAACACAGCACTCACTTTCTGCCTTCACGTAGGTTTATTCCAAACACTAACACGAATAATTTCAGATTTAACTTCGCAGAATTAAATGCAAAAGCAGATGTGCAACAACAGTTTAATGTGAGTTAGTTACCGGACTTACACAAACTTAACGCCAGCTAGGCTAACGTTACCTCACGTAGAGAGACACTGTATCACCATAAAAAGCCTGTAATCACTCTGAATGTTAGTTTCCAGCTTAATTTAAATATATATATTTTTTTAAAGCGTTAAAACAACGTTAACAGACAGGGGAGCAGGCTAACGGCTGCTACGTCGCCGCTCCTCGGTGCAGCTCGGCCAAGAAAACCCGAGGCTCCGCGGCCTACTAGCACGTTGCTAACCAACCGACTAACTTCTGCTCTCGCCACAGCGCCAAACACTGCTGTAAGAAACTTTAACCATCATTTACGTACCTTTTCAGTCACTCTTGATTAAATAATATCCACAAACAACGTGTATCTGCCGGTTTACCGGACAGTTGAACTACTTATAGCCGATCTGTTTATTGCTCGGTTGCTCCTCTATGTAGAGTCTATGCTGTTCGCTTCATGTGGCGCCCCTACTGGCCGAACGGTGACACTGCATGCGGAGCTCCAGTGGCTGATAACCTGTGATAATCACTAATCAACCTTCTTTTTCTTTCTCTATTTAGATCACTTTAAGTGGCAAACTGTAGGAAATTCACCAAAATATTTAAATACTTTAAGTGTATTAATTTATGTTTATTTATAGGCCATTACACGGCCTGTATTCACACGGTAAACATGTTAATGCCTTTAGGGTTAGGGTTAGGGTTAGGGTCTGTTTTTAAAACCGGTCTTAAAACCCATCTCTTCTCTGTGGCCTTTGACACCTAGTAAGATGTCGACTTTATTTACTTGATTTATTTTTTGTATTTGTTATTTTTACTTTTTGATTGCTTGTTATTGCATGGTTATTATTTTTATTTATGTCTTTTCATTTTATTGTTGTATTATATGTTATTTTGCGCCTCATGTGAGCTGTTATGTCTTTTATTTATGATGTCTTATTTATCCTCCTGTACAGCACTTTGGTCAACTTTGGTTGTTTTAAAGTGCTTAACAAATAAAGTTGGATTGGATTGGATTGGATTTATTGAATCCAGTTTAAATGTCACCAAAATCAACAAAAACTACTACATATTATTTTTTATCTTGTTGTATTATACACTACACAACTTATTTAAACTTATGTACTGTACAGTAGTTCACACATCATGGTTGCCAGGCTAATGCAAAAAGTAAAACAGATTTCTGTTTTGAATTGTTACGGTATTTACTACAGTGCTTTACTCATGTCTTGTTTTGTTATAACAGTCTGTTCTATCAATACTAGATAATCAGTTTCTTCCCTGTGTGATTGATGGGGTTCTCCCGGAGGATCAATATCACACTTATTCTGACTCTGTCCAATAGTAGGTAACTTTTGGAGTGACATATTTAACTGGTTTTCCAAACAAAATGAAATAAATGTTTTAAAGTTAAAGAGTGTAGTTTGTCAATATTTGGTTGCTCTGATGGGACGAGGGTCTGTCTTTGTGTTACTTTGTGTAATGGTACTGGGTGCTTCACGTCTATTATGTGTGTTTATTTTTTTATTTTCTTTTTTAAAATTATATTATTATATATTATTATATTATTATATAATGCGAATAGTGTCAATCCTGGTTTTACTGTGTGACTTTGAAATGCAGACATCAGACATCCAACACTGATCACATCGATTCGCAGTGAAGAACACAGACATTAAAACAATAAACTAACTCGGGCTCTCACACTATGGAGGACTAAAAGTCCCACAATTAATTAAATAAATAAATACACCATTAAATAACTACTTAAATGTGTCATTAATTCATTCAAATACCGATTCATTTTATGTAAAATACATATATAATTATTTCACTGTTTATTTAATTATTTCATGGTCCTGTGTTGCAGTGCTTCATGAATTACTTTAATCTGTCAAACTCACCCATCAAACTGTGAAGGCGGATCCTAACTGATTGGTTACCAATCAATTCCAGATAATGGATCGATGCAGAGCTAGTGAACACATTTCAATACACTAGGTGGCGCTATTGGACTACTTCTTCTAAATCTGCAGTCACTCTGTGGTCAATATCTTGGTCAGAAAATGCGGAAATAACTCCAAGAACTTCAATAAGTTCCTCTGCTTTATTCGCCACATGCTCTGGGTCAGCAGCTCCTGCTTCCACATCCTCTGCTAAGTTAAAAAATAGAATCAAGTGTTTAACTTTAGAAAAATAAAGTGTAGCAGCAGTTTGAGTTTCCCTTTTTCTTTGTTAACTGTTTCATATCTTGATTAACAGTCTCAACAAATGTTATAATAAATGAATATCAACACATCTTTACAATTGAACAGTTTCTTTCCCCTTTATATCTGTTTATACACTTTCTGTTGTTCAGTGAGAGAATTGAGCTCTAACCTCTCTCCCTTGTTGGGCAGTGAATGAATGGGTCAGGATACTGGTTGATTGATCATATTGGGATCTGAGACTGCTTATTTTCTGTGACCTTACTTCAGACTTGAGATGGTATGTTTGATGAAAACTTTGTGTTTTGTCTCATAGTGGCGTTTCACATTGGCACTTTTAATCAGCGCCACGGTCTCTGAACATATGAGACACACTGGTTATGTGCCCCCAGTGGGAAGAATGAATATGAATGAATCTGCCCATTCCAGAAGCTGTATTCTCTGAGTCCCGCTGTTTAAACAGATTTGATTGGCGATTGGTCTGTAAGCTTCTTCTTGATCCGCTAAACAAATACTGTAAAGACTGGAAAAGCTGTGCTGGTTAAAAAAAAGTTTCACAACAGAATACAAAAGAGTGACAACCATGAGTGAGAACAAAACCTGGATGACAAAGTTGCTCATGAGAGTTTTACATGAGCTAAAACCCCTGAAAGGGGACTGTTTTGCAGAGCTTCTTTCTTCTTGCTCCCTTTCTGCAGGTCAAGAGAGGTGAGTTTGGAAATGTGGTGCAGCCTTATCTTAAGAAATACAGACACAACCAGTGACAACAAGTTGGAATGATGGTTGTGGATGCCAAACTGTCTCCTCAATGTGTTCCCCCTCTGTTCCAGTCTCCTCCCGGACGATGTGTGTCGACACCTTTGGAGCTTGCTTTGATGAAGCTTGGCAAATCACCCTCTCTGCAGCTCTCAGCACCTTATAATAATAATAATAATAATAATACTAATAATACATTATATTTATATAGCGCTTTACACAGTGCTCAAAGACACTTTACAGAACAGCGAAAATAAGAACAAAGAACAAAGCAATTTTAATATACAAAGATTAAGAGATTAAAAAAACACAAAAAAATAAACATAAAATCAAACCTTCACTGTGCCTTGTGATGGATCACCAGGCCACCGTTGTTTTTCAGGGCTAGAAGGTGGTAGCTCTCGTCAAATGATGATGGTACAGCATCTCTGACCAAGCTCACACGGCACACATCACAGGACAGCTTTCACAGAAACTGCCAGACTACAAATCCTGCTATATAGACGAGGGCCTTTTCCACCAGACCACCAAACCGAGTGGGAAGATAACTGTGGGCACACACACGAAGGCCGAAATGTTGGTGAATGGAGATGGGTGCTCTTCAGCAGTTTCAGCAGAGGACATCTCTACAGCTGACAGGGACACAGTGTCATCTAGGTGAGACACCACACCGAACCATCAGACGGCGGAAGATGGCCTGGAACTGGCGTGCAGATGGATTGTTATTCCAGCCGCCTTGTATGGAAAACAGACACACAATACATACATTCATCACAAGACATAACATATAAAGATATTCATCAGAATTTATTGTAATTAAAAGAACACCAACCCTACCTGACGCTCTGATTGAATTAAATAGGACCTGTAGGTGAGCACATACCGCCAGTGGTGGGCACAGACTTTTTGAAGGGCAGGGGTGGAAAGAAAAGAAAAGGGCGCCACTGTAGAGGGCACTTTAGACACGTTTTATATGTTATACAAATGGCACATTATATAGCCTTAAAACAGACTAACTACACTGACTACTCAGGTTAGTTTGCTGTTAGGATCAGCATCCACGAGAACTGTGAAGAACACACAGCGACATGGATGTATGAAGGAAATAAATCCCTACTTCTTTCAAGTAGATGCCATTTCCTGTATTCCAGTGCATTTTAACACCATATTAGCACCAGATAGTAATCCAAACTGGTTCTGTGAGATATTGTTCTGGCTCAATATAGATCAACAAAGGGCCCAACATAAATAGCTACTCAATAGCATTAGCCTACTAACAAGACTTTCTGTCCGTAAAGCAGTAAAGGGAATTTTCCATCACATAGAATGGAACAGATCTTTATTGTCATTGTCACAGGTACAACGGTATTTAAAGTGCTCTCCAGTCAGTGCATCATTCATAGAAATATAAATTAATAAATAATTAATTGAAGTGCTAGTGTTACCTAAAAAAGTAAGTAGAAACATATAACATCATTAGCAGCATACACACACACCCAGTCATTGCATAAAGTATGAACATTCATCTGCAGGCATGCTGTCCTTGCATTGATCCATTTAATATCTGAGTCAGTTGGATAACAACTGTGTTTGAGTCTATTTGTCCTTGCTTTAATTGATCTGTACCTCCTGCCTGAAGGCAACAGTTCCAACAGAGAGTGACCAGGAGGGTGAGTGTCCTTTATGATGTTCTGGGCTTTTTTGAGGCAACGGGAACTGTGTAGTTCTTCCAGTGTGGGGAGAGGACAGCCGACAATCTTTAGAGCGGTGTTGATGAGCCTCTGGAGCACATTCCTCTGAGCCGCTGTGCAGCTGGTGTACCATACGCATTATGCAGTATGGAGGCACGTAAAAGGGGACAAGCAGTCTTTGTGTGATGTTAGTTCCTCAATTCTCAGGAAGTAGTCTCTGCTGGGCCTTTTTAACAGCTCAGAGGTGTTCACAATCCAGGACAGGATTGAGAAGAGAGAGAGAAGAGAGAGAGAGAGAGAGAGAGAGAGAGAGAGAGTCACGTGGAGCAATGCTGACGAAACTCAGGTAAAACTGTCAAAACCAGACAACGCTGATCAAATATGGATCCAGATTTTGTTACTACATTGTCTATTTCTCGCTTCAAATGACTGCAGAAACATATTTCAGTTTACAGTTTAGTCACAATATAGATAAGTTTTTCCTACAACCGTCATGTTTGAAGCAACTAAACACCGCCCACCACACTGGAAGTTAACACTGCTTGGCAGGTGTGCGGTTGATGAGAAACCCGTCACTGTGTTGCTACCAGGAGCTGCTGTTACATTCATTTAATGATGGGAATTTCTCCTCTAACTCTCTGCAGTGTTTTACTGTTTGTGGGAACTGTCACCGGTAAGTTTATCATATTATTCATTAAGTTTTTACTGTTTTTGGTTTGATGCTAAACTTCTATTCTAGTATGAAATGTGTGTTTGAGGAGATCAGTGACGCTTTTTATATAAACTCAAATTGTACTGGGTAGTGAAATGTGTAGATTTCAATGTATTTAACGCTTCATATAAAATAAGTTAAATATTGAATTATATTGGCACAGAAACAACAGTAGCAACAACTATATGCAATTTCCCAGCTTGGGATCAATAAAGTATATCTATCTATCTAACTACACTAATAGTAGTGACTGATGATGATGAACATGAAACTGTTTGCAGTTTGAAGAACACAGACATCTCACACAAGTGTGTGTCTATCTCTTTGTAGCAGCCATATATGATTCAAGCCTTTTACTTGATCCTAGACTAAATTCTAATTCATTTGAAAGCCTTGTTCTTAGTCTTTCTCACCCAAACTGGAAAACACTGCAGCCAGTTCTATTTGTTATAGTGTACCGCGCTCCTGGACCGTACTCTGATTTTATATCTGAATTCTCAGAGTTTTTATCAAGTTAGGCCTTAAATCAGATAAAGTAATTATTGTAGGTGATTTTAATATTCATGTGGATGTTAACATTGACAGACTTAGTAATGCATTTATATCATAATATAGGAGCATTTCACCCGTGGAAACATTAATATTTATTGAAAGTGGGTTATATATGTAGTCGAAATGTAACGCATATTTTGAATTTGGTGCCTATTTGACCGAGAAAAGAAAGAAAGTGACTTTAGGGCGCATTTGTATGAAAGACAACAACTCCCACAATGCACAGCTCCGCAAGCCGCTCACAAAGAGTCAAGGACTACAACAACGTGAATGTAAACCATTTATTTACAGAAATATATCAACAACAACAAAAATAAATATGTTAACAATGACAGTTATAGTTCCTCCTGAAACACTCACTTTACAGTCAGACGTCCGTGTGTCCGTAGGCGCACAGCGAGAGCACAGGCACCAGCAGTCCGCCCCAGCGAGAGCCAGTCCGGGCTCCTCGTCCGCGACAGGCTGGTCCTCTGCCTCGGCTGCAGCAGCCTCAGCGGCTGCTCGCTATATAGTCGGCTCATAAAGGTAGCCACGAACATTACTGATTTCGACCATCATACTTTAAAAAATTTCTTCCATATTAGATTGATTAACCATAATGGGAAGTCGTAACTCCGCTTAGCTGATCCATTGTTCTTGAAATAAAGAACAAGTCTTTGGCCTTAAAAAATTATGTTTTTTAAAGTTTCCGCAGGTCGCACCCCACTGATCTGTAACAGATAACTGAAAATGAGGATAACCAGATGCCCTGATACCAGAGAGAAAAAGAACATTCAAGATACTGTTGATAAATGTAAGAAAACACTGAACCTGTGGTTGCAGAGAGACAGGACCCTGTTTGGTAGAACACTGTTAACTAAAACAGAAACTATATCTCGGTTGAACTACCCTGCATACTCTTTAGTTGTATCTCCCAAAGTTGTAAAGGATATTAATAAATTCAATTTTAACTTTATTTGGAGAAATAAGCAAAGCATCAGGAAAGGAAATTTGCTTAAAGGCTATGAAGCAGGTGGGATAAAAGCTATAGATTTGAAATTATGAATGGAGTAGTAAAGGTTAAATGGCTACAATCTTTTCTTAAGAATAGTCAAGACATTTGGTTCTCTTTATCTTCACTTGTGTTTAAGAAATTGGGTGGCATCGAGTTCTTGCTAAAATGTGATTTTGTGATATCTAAACTGCCTGTTAAACTCTCTCCTTCCACCAACAAGTGCTTTCACACTGGAAAATGATTTATACACATAATTTCACTCCCCACAACGTCCCACTGTGGAACAACAGATTTATCCTAAGCAGAAGAAAATCTATATTTATGGAAAACTGGATGAGGAATCAAATCTTGTCAATCATGCATCTGATGGATAGAAATGGCAATACACTGAAACTAGACGAATTTAATAATACTTATAACTTAGATTGTTCTGTTAAAGATTATGTCAAGGTTATACAAAACATTCCAACAGTACTCATTCAGATGATCAAGAATAATCTAGATACTATCTAATTTTAGATACTATCTAATCGAGTATACTGAGCATGTAGACCATGTAGACGGGCTCTGCCGGTACTGTTTTGATCACATGACACTACACATATTTGCACTGATACGCCTACATATTAGTAACCAACGTGTAGGCAGGTGTGTATTTTGGCTGCTGACAAGAAACAAATAGGACAAACTATTAAGAAATGTGAGCCGTACAGACTCTCAGCAATGTTTTTTCCTCTTTTATATTGTATATATAATATATGATATATAATATGTTATTGTAGCACAACTATTTATAAATGTGTGTGGAGAGTTGTGTAACTATATTTCAATCTGTGATGGAAAGGATCCATTCTGTAGTATAATATTTATTACACTGATAAACCGTTGTACAGAGTTACAATCAGGATGTACCTGAATTCAAACAACTGGACTAAACAACGACAAACATTTGAAATGCTGTAAAGACGTCTGTCCCTCAGAGACTTTCAACAGTTTAATGTTTCCACAGGAAAGTTCAGAGCCTCCTGCACAAGTCAGTCAGTCATATTGGGAGGAAGAGGGCCGACGTGCAGCACATTAACATTGTAGGAATTATTGATGTCTGTCCTTCAGAGGTGTTCAAGCTGTGTGAATGTAAATGTCTGTTTCTGCAGGAGAGCATCAGGCAGTTTGTCCGAATCCAACAATGGAGGCAAAACAAGGCGATGACGTCATTCTACGTTGTTTTTTGGAGCCCGAGTTCAACTTGTCTGCTTCCACAGTGGATTGGAGCAGAGTCGACCTCTACAAGCGACCTCCAGTCCACGTATATCGAAGTAAAAAGGACGATCCTAGAGCACAGATGGATCGATACAGAGACAGGACGACTCTCAACCACAAAGAGCTGAGCAGAGGAAACGCGGACCTGCTGATCTCCTCAGTACAACCGTCTGACAGCGGGTCGTACGAATGCTACATCCCAAAACTGAAGGTTGGTTGCACCATCGACCTCGCTGTCGGTAAGAGTTTAATACTTTAATTCCACATTTATTAAATGAAACTGCAGATAATGAAGAACTTTGCCTCAAGGGTTTGTCCATCTCATTGAAACAGAAAAAGAAAACCAGCAGAGCACAACTGGACCTCCAGAGGAAGACAGGGAACCTCACAGGAAAGTTCCCGTTGCTGCCGTTGCTGCTGGTCTTGTTGTTGTTGCTGCTGTTGTTGTTGGTCTGATTGTTTTCCTGGTGAAACGTGGGAAGATCCGTAAGTTACAAACGTACTCTACAGCATTTTATTACCATTATTAAATAAGTGTAATAAGTTTTAATGTAAAGTTAGTGTCACAAACTGGTTTCCATGTTCCCACAGAGATTGGTTAGAAGACACAAAAAGCAGAGACAACAAGCACCGAAATGAACAACCTGATGCCCCAAACAACAACAACAACAACAACAACAACAACAACAACAGACCAACACAATGCTGCAGGAAACGTTCAGAGAGAGTCGGTGGTTGATATTGGCGAGTAAAGTCGTTGCTGATCTTAAACTCTGAGTTAATTTGGTCCAGAAGTGCCGTGTTGAGAAAACAGCATCAGCTCAAATCTTCCCCTAATTCCAGCTCTTATTGTTCAGAGGCACTTCTATCAAAAGTAAACAGAAACGATGTTTAAAATGAGACCGATCCAAATGAGAAAGGATGAAATAAAGGGAGGAGTGTGGAGGGAACATTTAGTCACATGTTTCAATCTCTGCCAGTGTTTAATTCACTCTGATATTAGTCTTAATGCTTCTGTCTCTCTGTTACCAACTTATTCCAGCGCTCTTGTATTTAAAACGCTCTTTCTTTACTCCTGTTCTCACAATATGAGCCCGACTGGAAGCAACTGGGAGCAAACTCAACAATCACAAGTGATTAATAGATTATAATGATCAATTATCGTGCACAAGTTGTTTGGGTCTCCTTCAATATGCACATTGTAAACATTTCTCAGGTCCCAGAATAAATTATTTGAATATATCTATATTTATATGTCACTGTTATTTAATTGACTGGAGGTGACAGACGGTGAAAGAAAGTATCTCTGAGACTGCGTCTGATCAAATTAGGGTTGATTTCATTTAATTTATTTAAGTTTAAAAACCACTGAGCTAAACAGTTTTAACTTTATTGATAAGGTTTTTATGACTCATCTCAACCAGTTCAGATTACTGTAATAATGTCTTCGGCTGTTTATTGATTATTGATCAACCTGTTAGCCTCCCAACTACAAGCTAAATTAATTTAATAAAGTAAAATTAAACTTTTAAACCTGTTTACGGTCTGTAAATGTTTATGTTTATGTTGTCATATTGTTGTTTATGTGTGATCTTTTGTACAATGTCAGCATTATGAAACTTTCCCTAAAGCTTTATATCAATAAATCTATATTAAATATATCTTTAAATGAATATAAAGTCTGTTCTGTGCTTTCTGTTGTTGCTGTGCCAATATAATTCAATATTTAACACATTTTATATGAAATGTTAAATACTTTGAAATCTACACGTTTCACTACCCAGTACAATATGAGTTTATATAAAAAGCATCGCTGATCTCCTCAAACACACATTTCATACTAGAATATAAGTTTAGCATCAAACCCAAAACAGTAAAAACTTAATGAATAATATGATAAACTTACCAGTGACAGTTCCCACAAACAGTAAAACACTGCAGAGAGTTAGAGGACAGATTAACATCATTACATGAATGTAACAGCAGCTCCTGTTTGTTTGAATGATTCTAATACTTGTATTTATATTCCCTTATTAATTGTATTTAAGGTATTGTTAAAACTAAAACATTGTTACCTACCTGTACCTCCCTCTGTACCTGTACTGGGAGCTGTGGTTGTGGTTTGTTTGAACCAGTATGAATATTTAATAACATATAACCTATGGAATAAAATATCAATTAAAGCTGCAAGCAGTGACGCTCTCCTGTGTGGCTCTTTCACTGTGACTGAATATTGGCCTGTAGTTGTGTTCAGGGTAGAACTGTTGTCTAAAGTGTTTGTATTTATTTTAAAAGTTCTTCAGTAGTTCTGTCAAATCAGTTTAATAATATTTCTCATCTTTACTGAACCAAAAGAAAACCTGTCTCAGATATTGGCAGGTTGAGTTCAGTGACTGCAGGAAAATAAAGTTATTAACAGTAAGTTTTATAAGCCAATAGACATTATTATTAATAAAAGGATTAAAAGCTCCGATTACATTACAAAGAAATCGCTTGAGGAAATGTTCTCTAACTGGACCTCTTTGAATTTTAGTTGAATACACCTGGTCTAAGGTATTAGAATGTCTAAGGTAAATAGAATATAGGTTTTTATTATGTCGATTCTCTAATTTCTTTAATGTATTATTCCTTTTTTAAGTTAAAACTGTTATTTATCTGTTTAAGCCTGTGTTAATGCTGCTGTTACATGAATCTTCAGCTCGTAGCACAGAGGATCAGGTGGACATGAGGTGGAATTTCAGTTCCCAATAGACCTTTTTGGTATATTTATGCATTTATCTATTCGTGATGGGGTTTGTTAGCATTTTAAAACTAAAACAAATCTGATCATGCAGTATCAGTATAATTAGAAACAGCTTCAAATAAAGTTTACACTCAAGCGCTACAGGAAACACAGGCTTTTATTTTGCAAAAAAGATTAACACAATCAAAAAAAAGACAACAGTGATTTAAACACTACTCTGTGTGTGTGTCTGTGTGTGTGTGTGTTTTCTTCTTGCGCTCAAGGCTGTAACTCGTAGCCCAGCGGGTCGACTCCTCGGTCCAACAGAGCGAGCGATGACTCCCTCAACTTCTGAAGAAACCTCCTCAGCTCTTCTTTAGAGAAGACCTGAAAATAGTGGACAGAGAAACAAACACACCATAAAAAAAAAAAACAGGAAACAACCTTAAAGAACTGAGCTCATATTCATCAAACTGCTCGTCTTGTTACCTGGTAGAGGCGGTGCTGGTCAGACGAGATGATGTCAGCCAGTCGCAGTGCCTCTTGGTGTCTGGAGGAGTTCTGCAACACGCTGAGCAGCAAGAAGCTGAGGCGAGGCAGACACAGAGAGCGCAACGCCGCCATCTGGTGGCTGCGCTCTGAATCCTGCTCTGAATCCTGAAAACACAACCAAACAATCCATTTATCAACCAATCAAATACAGTTCCTGAACCTTAAGAAAGTACTACCCACTTGTAGCAGGGAAGTTTATTTAAAGTTTGGTTCTTTAAGTCTTTAAAAAGAAAAAGTTCCTGAGGTGGAAACGCCCTAAACGTCTCTATACGTTACCTGTCTGTTGTCGATCATCCATCCTCCATCTACGAACAGCAGCACGTTGTAGATTCTCTCTTTCACATCTTCAGTTAAAACGTCCAGACGTGCCGACCAGGCAGCCAGGGAGGACTGAGACACACACACACACACACACACACACACACACACACACACACACACACACATTGATATAAATCAAAAGCTAATATATTTACATGAACAAGTATTTTTTACACATCCACCAGTAACTGTACAGAGACTCTGAATAATATAATATTCCACATTATTATATACAAGCTGTATTGATATTTTATAAATGATAGATATATGGATATGAACTGTGTGTGTGTGTGTGTGTGTGTGTGTGTGTGTGTGTGTGTGTGTGTGTGTGTGTGTACCTCATACTCCTTCTCTCTCATCTCATTGGCTACTCTCTCTGTGAACTTGGCCTCTGGGGCGGGTGCTGGTTTCTGGGGGGCGGAGCTACTGTGGCTGAACCAGTCAGTGAAGGCCTCGTGGGCTTCCTGTGAGAACATTAACAAGACACATTCAGGGTCAATCAATAACCCTTATTGATCCCTACACAACAGACTGAAGTAATGCTGCAGCTACAGAGTAGTAGTACTCTATTAGCTCACTCTCCACTGGATGGAATAAATCTAGCACCATCTTCTGGTCCAATTTTATAACTGTCCAGTGCTAGTAAATACAGGAATGAGATTCGGGCAACACTGAAGTAATACAGGTTGTTTAGAGTTTAGGTTAGGGGGTCTATCAAACTCCAGTATTGGAAAAAAAGCATTAACACAGAGACAGGTGACGGACCAGGTAGGCTCTGATACACAGGTGTTCTCTGATGGCGTTCTCATCCTCAGCAGGTGCCGTGGTCTGACCGACCCCCGTCCACTGGCAGTAAATCTCCCTCATTGAATCCTCTGGAACTTTAGAGAACACCGCCTTGGCTGCGTCGTGTTTCTGCAGGGCTGTAGGAGACAGACAGACAGACAGACAGACAGTCAGTCAGTATGACAATATGTTGTGGCGGATGAATAAATAAATAAATAACAAAATAAAGTACCCAGAAACTTCCTCATGATGGCGTTGGACTGCTTTAGGGACTCAGCTCGATGTGCGGGGTCAAACAGCAGCCAATCAATAACGTCGATCTTCCTTAGGTCCTCCTATCAGAGCACAGTATCACAGTAAGTCCACACAGTTCTACTAATACAACAGACTGACAAAGTATATTGCTGGGGGCTACAGGTATTGTTCTTGTTCTAAAGTAGGTCAAAATTCAAGTTTTTGTTTTCCAAGATGAGTTTTTATTTAGTTTTAGTCTTCTTTTCGTGGAGGAGAAAAAGGTTGTCACCACATTTGTTTCGTCTACAATGTCTGGTTTTTACTGTACCTTCGTAGTCGCCGTCTCCAGCGTCTGGCTGTGGTGTGTAAACTCAGTTTCGTCCCTCTCCCTAACAGTCTCCACCACCAGCTTGGTTATGGCAGCAACATCCAGACCTACACAAACAAAACCAAACAGTATTCTCTCATTAATAATAATGCTTGTTGTCTTACAGGCCTTCACTGTGTATGTTTCACTATCTTCTGTCTCACCGGCGTCAGTGGCGAGCTGCAGGCAGCGAGGGCGCAGCTCCGGCTGGTTTACGGTCTCCAGGAAGGCGGCGTACTGAGCGGTGGCGAGCTCGGCTGGGAGCTGGCTGACGTAGCTCGCCACGAGCTCAGTCTGCTGATCCCGAATCAGAAGGGAGACGTACGCCTTCAGCACATCCACACACACCTCCTCCTTTAAACAGGTCAGCAAACGTCGAATTATGAAATTGATCTCAAGTAAAATATTGATAGTTAAATACCTAATAACCGATAATTTTAGACTAGATGACACGTCTTTATCCTGATGTTGCACGTTTGACTAATTCGTCTACTTTACCTTCAGCGCCAAACCCAGAGAGCGGAAAAACAGCACAAGGTGAGTCATGAAACGCAGCAGGTGGGAGGGGAGGGGCTTAGAGGCTGTCAGCCAATCAGAGAACTCCTCCAACAGACCTGAGAGAGGCAGAAAGAGACAGGTTAGGGTTTAGGAGGATGGCGGCATAAGTTAATCTTAAGGTTAGGTGTGTGTGTGCCAGAGGACAAGTACCGTCCAGGTCTCCCAGGATGACAAACTTCTGGATGACGTGGTAGTGTTCTCTTGTCTCCTCCAGCACTCTCTACACACACACACACACACACACACACACACACACACACACACACACACACACACACACACACACACACACACACACACACACACACACACACACACACACACACACACACACACACACACACAGAGAAAGAAAGACAGAAGCTGATTTTATGATGAGTTCTGTCATGTGACTTTCACCAATCACGTTCAGTTAGTGTGCGAACTTTCACCTTTGTCTCTGAGGCTTGAAGTTCCTCAAACACCTTTTCCATGGTCCAACTGAGGAGGGAGGGAGAGAGAGAGGGAGAGAGAGAGAGAGAGAGAGAGAGAGAGAGAGAGAGAGAGAGAGAGAGAGAGAGAATTAAAGAAAGAATTAAAGAAAGAAAGAAAGAAAGAAAGAGATGGTAAGGGGATCATTTTACTTAAGGAGAGGCTGTCCAGTCAGTACAGTGTGTTTCTGTGTGTGTGTGTGTGTTTGTGTGTGTGTGTGTGTGTGTGTGTGTGTGTGTGTGTGTGAGTGTGAGTGTGTGTGTGTGTCGTACTTGGCCTCCAGGTATTCTCGTGGCAGCGTCTCCACTTCCTGGTGGGCCATACCCGACGACATCAGATCCTTTTCAACCAGCGAGTCGACCATCACTCTGAAGTGCGCCCACACGCAGTCCTCCCATGATTCACACACTGCCAGGAGCTGACACACACACACACACACACACACACACACACACACAGTTAATGTATTATACCAGCTATTAGGCAGATCTCTACATACTAATCAACGAGTCATACTGAACACATTTGGACTGACACTGAAAGCAGATATGTTTGTGTTAATCACTGTTTAATTCCCTGACAGATGAAGGTAGCTTTTGTGATGTGAAAATTGTTCTGACTCAAAACTGGAGTGTGCATGTTATGAAACACCTGTTTGAGGC